AATTTGTTGTTTAACTATATATACCATCATATATGTAATAAAATAATGTATCCTTCAGATAAGACATCAAGCTGAGGTCTCGTCTGTCTGTTCAGGTGTGTAATAAGGATCCTATGATACAACACGAAAAGAGAAGGGAGTTTCTCCCGTTGTCCTGGCCAACAATCCCCCAAATAAAATTGATCATTCACCTCAAGGCTGTTTGTGCAGCTTCGCCGTGTACAAATTGCATACCACATTCGCCTATGAATGCACCTTACAGAAACGTCTGTGAAGCACTTTTGAGATATTTTGATGTGTTGAGTGTTCTGTAGCAAATGGAAGGGTTTTATTTTTATTAGCTCTCTCAATCCATCCAGGAATTTACTCTACATTTCGGAATAGAACCAGAAAAGATATATTCGGCCTTTTGATATAGTGCCTTGTTGTGTTAGCCAGGCACCTCAAAGACCTTGACAGGAGTTACTGACAAGTACAGTTACTGCGTAATCATAGGTCAACAAAGTGAATTTTCACACACCAGTGTCCCACAAGCAGCCATGAACAACAACAACAACAACAACAAGATTCCATTTATAAAGCGCCTTTCACGTCAGGAGGAAGTCCCAAGGCGCTGCACAGTTGGGTCAGGACCCGAGCAGGGGGGAAATGGTCAGGGTAAATGAAGTAAATGACTGATTTATATCTGGGGGAATTGTAGACCAGGACACCAGGAGAACTTCCCTTCTCTTTATGAGTTGTGCAGCAGGATCTTTAACGACCATTTGAACGGTACCTCGGTTTGATGTCTTATCCGAAGGATGGCACCTCTGAGAATGCAGCACTCTCCTGACACTGTATTGCTGTGTCAGCCTGGATTGTGAGCTCACTGATAATTCTCCCAGCACTTTGCGAAAGTCCCCCTCCCAGTGTAAGGCAGAAAGATTCTTTGCAAGGTTGACATCTGAGCATTCAATGAGAATATGCTTCATTTGAGTTGTCAAGAGGGAATTGATCAGAAACCCTCTCAGGTTTATTGCGTTGCCTCTGCTTATTTTTGTATGAAATGAAGCGAGGCCTTTGTCGATAAGAGCTGCCAGCGTTTTTCCTTGACATGAATCTCGTGGTTTGAGGTAATGCCAAGAATGACCCAGAGCTTTTTCAAAGAAAATATCTGCTTACACGAGGGAATCCTAGAGTCCTAATCCTTCAGAGCGTTCCTCCCCATCCCCCGCCATGCTTTATATATCATTCCTGGCGACAGAAATATCACCACCATCCTTCAATGGTGTTCCCTGAGCAATGGTATGCATCTAACTCCACTTGGAGCTCAACGTGTAGTATTTGTGTCCTGGGGGCATAGACTTAAAATCAGAACCAAGGCAGCTTGAGGACAAGAAGCATGGTGTCCTGTAGCTCAGTCGTTAAAGCACTTGCTTCACAAGCGAGAGGACCTGGGTTCAATTCCCGGGCAGGGTGAAACATTGGGCAAGTTTCCTTACTCCACACGCCTCTGTTCACCTGGCAGTAAGTAGGAACCCAATTGTTAGTCGATTGGCGGATCGCTTTTCTGTGGGTAATAATCCTTTCAAAAAAATAATAATAAATAAATATATTTTTTAAAATAATAATTATTTGGTCACTCACTCCACGACTGTTTGTGGGACGCTGCTGTGCAAAATTGGCTGCCCCATTTTACCCACAAAATGTACAGACAATTCACTTTACAGTATATTCTGTGAAGCTCTTTGAGACATCTTAAGGATGTGATAAGGTGCCATATCATGCAAGGATTATTACTTATTAATTCTTCACACACATGTCCTTACCTGAGAACTCATGGGATTAAAAAGAACTTAATTATTTTTAGGTCAGGAAAGGGTTACTTCGCCAAAATAGTTATATCCTTTTTGATGTTTTTTCCAGCTCAGCTCCCTGCCTTCTCCTTCAAACTCTTTAATCTTTTCTCAGAAATGCATCCCGTTATCTCCTCTACTGTCTACTGTTTCTCTGTTCCTTTCTGGATAATTTTTCCTGCATATTGTGTGTGTCTCAAAAGATATTTATTTGACCGAGTTTTCAGTCATCTTTGCCCTCCCACCCCCAGCTTGGGTACCCATCCAGCACCATTAAGAGCTTTGAGATGTCCTTCCAATGTGAAAGACGCGATACAAGGTGAATCAGAAGTCCTTATTCACAGAATCTTTAATTACCAATTATGTTTTTTAAGACAACGTTCATAGAGCGTGTGCAGCTATTACAGGAGAGACACACATAGACATATTCACACAGAGAGACTCACAAACACACACACATATAGAAGAGAGACACATAAAGACATTCACAGAGATACACTCACTAACGCACACACACTGTGTTTGTAAGTGTCTGTGTTTGTGTGTGTCTCTTCTATATGTGTGTGTCTGTGTTTATGAGTGTCAATGTGTCTGTGTGCGTCTCTCAGTATCTATGAGTGTGTGTGTGTCTCTCTCTCTCTGTTTGTGTGTGTGCGTCTCTTTCTCTCTCTGTGTGTCTGTGTATGTGTCTCTGTGTCTGTGTATGTCTCTCTGTGTCTGTGAGTGTGTGTCTGTCAGTTTGTGTGTCTCTCTCTGCGTCTGTGTGTCTGTGAGTGTGTGTCTCTCTCTGTGTCTGTGAGTGACACTCTATGTCTGAGTGTCTCTCTGTGTCTGTGAGTGTGCGTCTCTCCCTGTGTCTGTGAGTGTTTCTCTGTGTCTGTGAGTGTGTGTCTCTCTGTGTCTGTGAGTGTCTCTTTGTGTCTGTGAGTGTGTGTATCTCTGTGTCTGTGAGTGTGTGTCTCGCTGTGTCTGTGTGTGTCTCTCTGTGTTTGTGAGTGTGTGTCTCTCTGTGTCTGTGAGTGTGTGTCTCTCTGTGTCTGTGTGTGTCTCTTTGTGTCTGTGAGTGTGTGTCTCTCTGTGTTTGTGAGTGTGTGTCTCTCTGTGTCTGTGTGTGTCTCTTTGTGTCTGTGAGTGTGTGTCTCTCTGTGTCTGTGAGTGTCTCTTTGTGTCTGTGAGTGTGTGTATCTCTGTGTCTGTGAGTGTGTGTCTCGCTGTGTCTGTGTGTGTCTCTCTGTGTCTGTGAGTGTGTGTCTCTCTGTGTCTGTGAGTGTGTGTCTCTCTGTGTCTGTGTGTGTCTCTTTGTGTCTGTGAGTGTGTGTCTCTCTGTGTTTGTGAGTGTGTGTCTCTCTGTGTCTGTGTGTGTCTCTTTGTGTCTGTGAGTGTGTGTCTCTCTGTGTTTGTGAGTGTGTGTCTCGCTGTGTCTGTGTGTGTCTCTTTGTGTCTGTGAGTGTGTGTCTCTCTGTGTTTGTGAGTGTGTGTCTCTCTGTGTCTGTGAGTGTCTCTTTGTGTCTGTGAGTGTGCGTCTCTCTGTGTCTGTGAGTGTGCGTCTCTCTCTGTGTCTGTGAGCCCCGCAGTCAGGACACTAGCGAGCTTGGCAAGCGATGCTGTTTTTTGGCAGATCTCCAGGCCCTTCAGGACTGCACTGTTGTCATCGTCATTCGCCCCCCACCCCCCTAGTTTTTTGTTAAAGAAAGCATTCATAATGGTTTCTTTTGCAACAATCTAAAATGTGTTGTTTCTTCATGTTTAGTTTGTATCAATAGAGTGAAAAAATGCAAGTTGGCAGCGAAATGCACCTCAATAGCACCCATCAACTCCCCGCAATTTTCTGCAACATTTGTCAAATTTCCCTGCGATTTTTGGCAAATATTTCCGCAATTTTCTATTGGCCCTGCCTATGAGGAAGGACTTCTGATTCACCCTGTATCAATGTAAAATGTCATGCAAAGTTATCCAGGGCAGCCTTGTCAAACTCTACTGGTTCGATATCTTTTTCTTCCCCAACGTCTTTAACTTTTCCTGATACGTTTGTTACATGAACTCGCCCCACTATTGACAGGTGGGCCTTCCGCCACTCTGCCCCCACCCTCTGGAACTCCCTCCGCCTCGCTCCCTCGCTCGCCACCTTCAAGACCCACCTCAAGACCCTCCTCTTCGACCATGCTTTCGATCTCCCTGTTTCCCCCACCTGCCCTCTACCCTCCCTGACCCCGACCCCCAGCTCGGGTCCGTACCTCTTGTCTGTCCAACGCCTTGGGACGTCCTCCCGACGTGAAAGGCGCTATACAAATGCAATTTTGGTATTTTGTTGTTGTTGTAAAATCCTGGTACCATCTGCCAAGGGCAACAGTATCCTGTAACTGAGAACTTTTTGAGGAGAAATTACATTGCAGAGTTCATGGCACAAGCAACTGTTATCACATCATATGTTTATCACCACAGCAAAAGACCACCAACCCTCAATATTTGTATCAGGTTGTTTGGCAGCTATTAACTTAGCAAGAAGATCAAACTCAAGCTCTGCAATGCTGTAAAGCGAGACTTCTCTTACTGTTTGAACTTTTCCATGTTATTTTTGCATTCAGCAGTTGCCCCCCAACACCACCCCCCCCCCCATCCCCCCCAGCAAAACCCATCTCTCCTTTCTGTGTTGAATCTGTCGTGTGTTTTTTTTCAATTGAGCCGGTGTAACTTTTACTAAAACTTAAAGTTCTCCGCTAACTTTCAACTGATTCTGTGTTGTGATACTTGTTCAATGTGTCAGGGATGGTAAGCAGAAGGGGATTTGCTTTGCAGGATGTAATAAACATTTGCCGTCTTATTTTTTACGTTGTGAGCCACCTACTGGATAAACACTGCATTCAATCATTTAATCTCGGCAAGCTAAAAGGAAGCTTAGCATTACCTCCAGCGTGGTCGCTGACGTCAATAAACCTTACATTTTGCCAGCTCCAGGGTCAAAAAGGATTTGTTTTGGAATGGCAGAGAACATATTATATTTCTTATGGCCTTGGTGAAACACTGTGTTAAAAAAATTGAGGTGTTCAACAATTAACCTCGGCATTAAACATCAAATGCTGTAGATATTACCCCATTATGACATTTGGAGCTAAATTATACTCTTTGCTGCTCACATAAAGCTTTTATATTCTATATTGATCGCAGGTCATTTGGGCATTTTCAAGCGAAGGAATATCAGGTGGCAAAAGGAAGGGCAGTTACTGAAGGCAGTGATGGCATTGATCGCATGAGGACTGGTCTGTGCCTCACAAGGCTGTCTGTTACTAAGGTAATGAAGGAAATCCAAATTTATCTTCCTCGTGTCTCCTGCATCAGGTTCTGTTAACCTGCTGCTTCTAATTCTGTCCCGCAGATAAAAAAAATCATCCATCCACTTTATAGCTGTTTGTGAGATATTGCTGTTTGCAAATTAGTTGTTGCGTTCGCTTATAAAATACAGTCACGACACATTACGGTGTGAGACCTGATGTGAAAGGCACTATACCAAATACAACAATTGTAATGGTCTTTCACCGAGATGCTGATCAAAGGCTTCTTTGTTTATTTCAAACTTTGCGAATATTTCCGCAAGTTTTCATCAATGAGTGTGACTGCACATTTAGAACACACACCCACACACATACACATGCTTCAATTCCCTTTATCAAACCTACTAGGGAGTAATATCACAAGAGTGTGTGTGGTCTGAGTATGCCATAATTAGCCCATTTATGTTGCAAGTTGTCACCAAAATGACTGTGGTTAATCGCCAAATGTAATCGCCAACATTATATGAATAAGATAAAGATCAGAGGATACCTGTGTGGTTAATGTCTGGCCCTCATCTGGTCCAACACGCACAGAAACCCATCGCCATGCTTAACAGTTCTACCCATCGATGATTTCTGTTCACCAAGTATGGAGTGCCCACTCTCTCCGCAGAGGGACATCCCGTGTTTGCCTAATCTGAGAGTTTAGGGGAAGTTTTAGCAAAAGATAAGACTTGGGGAATCCAGAATGTGCATTGGGAGAAGTTTAACCAGTCAAAACCACACAGTTTACTGCTGTGATCAATGACAACTAACATTTATCTCGTTCCCCTCACGCCAAGCGGTGTCTCCGATCGCTTAAAGCTTATAAATAATAATATAAATAATAATCCTTGCATTTGATATAGCGCCTTAGCACATCTTCAAGTGTCCCATTGAACACTGCTAAGATTCCCATTGCTTGTCCAGACAGGCATTATTTTAAATCTGTGTATAGTGTTTTGCTTATTTATTTTATTTGTTTTCTCTGTTTCCTTGTATTGTTTAATATATTTTCAAAACGTTAAAATACAGGAGTGGATGCACTTTAATCCAGTGATGTGTCCTGGATTCAACAACTTGAATTGGAATTGGTTATTTTCATATCAGTATCCTTTCCACAACAGCCCGGCCCTATAATAATCCTAAAGCAATCCTTCTAAACCTTTCATGTTGGGAGGACATCTCAGCGTGCTTTATAGGATATATTGTAAAGTGTAGGACTTGGTATTTGCAGGTGAATGCAGCAGTCATTTTGTGCACCAGCAATGTCCCACAAACAACCATGAAATGAAATTCACTTTACAGTATATTCTGTGACGTCTAGAAGACGTGAAAAGCGCTATATCAAATGCAAGGATTATTATTATTATTATTATTATTATTATTATTATTATTATTATTATTATTATTATTATTATTATTATTATTATTATTATTATTATTATTATGTATGCCCAATTTTAACTGGGGAGTTGTGGACCTGGACTCTGGAAGAAACTCCCTTCTCTTTTCAAGCAGTGCCGTGGGATCTTTAACGTCTACCTGAATAGGCAGTTTAATGTCTCATCCGAAGGACGGCGTCTCCAACAACACAGCGAGCTACATTAAATGCAAATAATTATTATTCTTATTGTTACTAATATCATTATTTTCCAAACGTTTAGGGCACAAACTGACTTGTTGTTGGGCTCCACTGATCAGCCAGTGTGCAGACATGCGTTGATGGAAATGGGACTACATGTAATTGGCACATGGAGACCGCCCTCACCTCGTGGGGTGTACTGAATCATTTTCAAAATGTTTTACAGCTGAATCTGATGATAATTGAAGAACTAGTGAAAGCTGGAGTGCCAGCGGTCGGGCTATCGGTGAGTTTCCCAACAGTAAAGACTTGCTTATCGTGTGTGGTTTTAAGAAAAGCACAAATTGTGTCAGATTTTGTTTCCGATTTTCTCCCCCCATCGGCATGTGTGTGTCTCTCTGCTCTTGTCTGGTTGGGTTACAGTTCCACAGGCACAGGTTGCCCTCTGGTAACCCTGCCCCAAGTGGCTGTTGGTCTTGTGTGAGGCTTGGCAGTGAGTGTGGGCAGCCCACTGGACTGCAGAGGACGTCACAGCCACACACGCACAAACAATAGAGGGACCTGGAGCAGCTATCCTGGCTGCTTTTCCTCTCCCTAACCCCGAGAAGGCTGGCGCCAATGTAACCTCCTGCATGTGTCACTAGCTAAAGCCAGCGAACTCGACGCAGTATTTGTAACCAGCGAGCATCTGGTCTGTAAGCCACAGCTCGGCAGCGCCCAGATTACAGAATGTTTAATGGGCGACTGAGGCTCTTTCCTGATGGCTTGGGCGGGTGAATGCAACAGTTGGTCTGGTACAGAGCCACGATTCCAGCTTTATTCCCTCATCTGTGCCGAGCTTACAGGATATACTGCAAAGCGCTTGGCAGAATATACTGTGAAGCGAATTGGTTGTATATTTTGCGGGGGAAACGCGGCAGCCAATTGTGCACGGCAGATTATCACTTAGAGCCCAGCGCTTGACAAACACGAACACACAGTGAATCAGACGTTCACCATTTCAATAATTTTCTTACAAAATTGAACAGAAGACATCCGATCAAAAAAAAACGACACAGCAACCTACTTACTATTTATTTGTTTCCAAGCGCGTCCGCCAATTTGTGCACAGAGATGTCTCACAAACAGCAATAATAATAATAATAATAATCCCTATATTAGATATAGCGCCTAATCACGTCTTCTAGACGTCTCAAAGCGCTTCACAGAATATGCTGTGAAGTGAATTGACTGCATATTTGTGGGCGAAACGCGGCAGCCAATTGCGCACAGCAGCGTCCCCACAAACAGCCGTGGATTGAGTGACTCACTCCAACCCATAATAAAGCGAAAAAGGTCATTTTTAATTTCGGATTGAACAGTGGTGGATTGGAGCGACCGATTTATTGTTGTTTTTTTTTTCTTGAGGGATTATTATCAGATGTGTGGAGTAAGGAAACTTGCCCAAGGTTTCGCCCTGCCGGGAATCGAACCCAGGTCTCTCGCTCGCGAGGGGAGTGCTCTAAACACTGAGCTGCAGGACACCACTGCACAGTAACAATGACACAGTAACAGTGAGCTGGAAGCCAGGTTTTAAGCATAATTCAGCAACATTGCACCGACAGTGACAAATGCAATATTTTCGCACAACTTGGAAAGGAATTAGAGTGTTCCTTTCCTCACATCACCTGATTGGCTATTTTGAGTGCAGCTATGTGGGGTAGCAGCGGGTGTAAATCTCATCATCGTCACATGCAGCGTCGCCGATACTCAGGGATTGTGTTTCAGCCACTGTGGCTTCCAGTTTGCTTTGACTGGCGTAAGCTTCCCTCACCTGTATATAATCATCCTTGCATTTGACACAGCGCCTTTCACGCTGAGCCTCACGGGATTATAATATAAAGTACTGCGACTGTACATTTTCTAGGTCATTACGGGGAGATTCATGAAGTGGTTTGGCACTGGTGTTATGTATGCCTCTCTTTGCACATCTGCACTTTGTCTGCCATTGTCTATATAAAATAATGTGCACAACGACAACTTGCATTTACTTGGCTCACAAAACACAGCGTCAACTGCACTTTACAATACATCCCGTGAAGGCCTTTGAAACGCCCTCCCGACGTGAAAGTCGCTATATCAAACGCAAGATTGTTATTACTATTTTATTGTATAGAAACAGAGAATAAAAGTCACGAACAATTGCTAACATGCCTGTGGCTTTTGTTCTCTTGTAGGCTTTCGGGATTTGGAAAACTGCAGGGAGACGTGTGATTCAGCATAATATTTCTTCGGTTCACGATGTGCTGGCAGCAGGGTATGTCCCTGTTCTTCACGGAGACTGCGTTTTGGACTCCAATCAACATTGCTGCATATTGAGTGGAGACACCATTATAGAGGTAGTTCCATCAACCTTCGTGGCTATTCTCCTCGTCCACCTTTCTATCTATTTTAGGGACGTTTCTTGAAATTTCTGTGCTGGTAATTGGAATTGGTTGGAATGCAGACATATTCTTGTTTTTAATCCATTAAATTTACTCAAGGGAGCAACATCACAGATTTCAGATCATAGCAAAAACAAATCGTGTGACAACAGAAACAGCTCCGCGATTCTATTCTGCGTGATGGGCGCTATATAGATAGATGCATGTTGTTGTTGTTGGGTGAATTTTCATTAATGAATAAACAGAAGGTCAAGGTCACTCGCGCTCGTCTTCCTGTTTTTGATTTCCTTTCGCACGGAACTAATTGAAGTTGATCCCGAATTCTTCGTAGGTCATGTGTGAGGAGTTTATTCCAAAGCGAGTGGTATTCCTTACGGACGTTGCTGGAATATATGATCAGCCTCCACACATGCCAGGTATGACCTTTCCTCAAAGTAACAGGGAACAAGTGCTAGAGACAGATTGTAACAACAGGTTTTAATTTGCTAAATATTTCATCCTGGCTGCCCAAAAATATTAATGAAATCCAATGATTTCACCTCATCGACCCGAATTATAAATCTGTCAGGTACAGTAGTTATCAACTCGTTATTGGAGTCAACTAAGTGACTATCTGCTCTCATTTCCACTTGCTTTGTTTCTGCTGGTTGGGTTCACCACTGCGTTGCTCGAAGCAGCTCAACTGCGAGAAATTATTGTTTCTATCTAACAAGGGATAAGGGGACAAAGCATCATTGTCGCCTGTCTTAACCAGGTGGATATGGACTTTAAACCTTGTTTCTGTGACCCAAGCAGTTTCTGATTTAAATGAATAACCGCTGTGGCATGTGATTTTAAACTCCTGCAATTTCAGCCCGTGGGCACTGACTAGATTAAAACCCGTGAAATTACTTTGGCCGATCTCAACCCCAGTTTAATAATAATATTAATAATAATCCTTGCATTTGATATAGAGCATTATGACATTGTTGAGACGTCTCAAACGCTTCACAGAATATGTTGTAAAGTGGATTGACTGCGTATTTTGTGGGCGATACACAGCAGCCAATTGCACACAGCAGAGCCCCACAAACAGTCGTGGATTGAAGTGACCAATCTTTTTTGGGGGGAGGGATTATTATCCCCAGAAAGCAATCTCCCAATCGACTAACACTGGGTTCCTATATACTGCTATATACTGGTAAACATAGGTGTGTGGAGAAAGGAAACTTAGCCAAGGTTTTTCCCCTCCCGGGAATCGAATCCAAGTCATCTCACTCACTGTTATAATAGTATTATTATTACCCTTGAGAAGTGTAACTGACTTGTGATAATGCTTGCATCATCGTGAGACAATTACAGGATATGAACATATGTTTGCTGCCTGGAAAGGAACTGATTGTGTTTGGAAAGAACAGTGGAAGGAGAACTTAGGAGGAATTCTTTCACCCAGAGAATAGTTGGGATGTTGAAAACTCTGCCAAGTAGGATGGTGGAGGTAGAGTTGATTGTAGCTTTCAAGAGGGAAAGTGGTATGGGGATAGGGTAGTGCAGGGAGATTGACTTGACTCTGAGAGCCGGTGCGGACTCGATGGGCTAAATGGCCTCCTTCTGTGATGTCGATTTTTGTTTCTGTGATTCACGCCTGTTCACGTGCAAAGTTTTATTGGACTCTTTTTGGCGAACCGTTCGTTCATGCTGAGCTGAGATTTACTCACTGAGCTCTTGCCTCAACAGGTTCTCAGCTCCTGAGCCAGGTTTCTTTCAGAGCAGATGGTAGTTTGGCGCTACCCATCCAAACAGCCTCTCTTCCCCACGACACCACCGGTGGGATTTCCAATAAGCTTAGAACTGCCGTCAACATACTCCTCAACAGCAAAGGGGCCACCCGCGTGTTCATCTGCGATATCGACAGCGAACAAGTCCTTCTGCAAGGCGTGGTCAGAAAGAATGGAGGCACTGAATTATCAATAGAAGGTTCATGACGCTTTCGTATTTTGGCTGTAGATCTGGTTTTGTTTGCATCCCCTCCTCGCCCCCCATGTTAACGTTAACTGTGAACCTCTGAACATTTAAGTACCTGCTGAGTGGACTGATTGAAATTAAATGTGTCACTTGAAGAAGGCAAGCGTTCCAGGAAATTTATTCATTGCTCTTGGTTGATGTTTGATCCATTTGTTCCACACGCAGTCACGTCACTTGTTCCCGCTTATTTTCAGTTCGCACAGTTTGCTGTGATATTAACACAGGCAGCTCCATCTGACTCAGTATGGATAGGTCAAACACTGGAGCGTTCTCTTAAGATCCACAAGTGCAGCGAAGCAAGCACATCATCAAAATCTTAGAATAATGATAATAATCCTTACATTTGTTATAGAGCCTTTCATGTCAGGAGGAAGTCTCAAAGCGTCTCGCAGGATTTTACCTCAAAGTGTAGTGACTGTATTTTGTAGGCGGCTTTACACACGGCAATATCCCACAAACAGCTATGAAGTGAATGATGAATTTTAACTGGGGGATTGTTGTCCAAGGCACCGGGACAAACTCCCTTTTCTTTTCAAATGGTGCCACGGGATCTTTAACGTCCACCTGAACGGGCAGACGGGACCTTGGTTTACCGTGTCATCTGAAGGACCACACCTCCAATAATGCAGTGCTCTCCCATTGCATTGAAGTGTCAGCGTAGACTACAGATCATGAACCCACAACCTTCTGACTCAGCGGCTAACACACACTTTATTCTACTCAGATATGCAGACGCACAAAAATATCTAACTTCCACTGACTTCCCCATTCTTGATGATGATAATCATAATTATCCTTGCTATTGATATAGTGCCTTATTACAAAGCGCTTCACAGAAAATACTATTAAGCGAATTGACTATATTTTCTGGGCAAAACATGGCAGCCAATTGCACACAGCAGTGTCCCACAAACAGTCGTGGATTGAGCGACTCAGTCAAACCCATAATGAAGTGAAGAAGGTTATTTTTAATTTTGGATTGTACAATAATTACAGCCACTGATTTTGTGGTGATTACGGTAGATTATCATGATCTACAAAGAAAGAGTTCAACGCTGTCTTCTGTGAACTCCCCCTGCCCCTGCCCTCCCCATTTCCAGTTACTTTGCTGAATTGTTTCAGGGCTTGAAAGCTTGTATCCTTCTGTCACCTCTTCTGTCCTTTTAAGTGCTGAGGGAAAAGTGTGGATGTCCAGCGTATAACCCGAGGAAGCCGTCGCTGTCAACCAACTGGCTTCAAGTAATTTAATAAGCCTACTTCCCACCACCAATAGATATCTTGGCGAGGTTCATGTAATCTTAGTATTTATCACAGGACTAAAGTGCAAACCACGTCAGAAATATTGCACATTCAACCATTTGGGATCGAGCTGAGAGCTTCGTAAGGGAGAGGTACGTACAGGAATATTAACACACACCTAAAAGAAATGCTGTTTCTTTTCTCCACTATAACCTACGTGTGATTGAGCCAAGCTGAGCAAAAAGGCCACTGATTTTTTTTTCAACGTTGTAATAATTTAAAATCGATTTTCTTTTGCTGGCTCAAGGCTTCAACAACGATGCTTAAGCGATCATGCCTTTTGGCAAATGATTGAATTCTTGTGCCAGAGCAGTATTTGTTTTTATGTATTCTTGCATTTCATGCTTGGAATACCTTTTAATATGCCAGGAGAATTTTTTTTGTGTGCAGTATATTTTGGCTGTTTGCTGGACATTGCTAGCTTCCCATGTTTGTCTGCAAAACATAATCACTACACTTTACAGTGAACCCTGCGAAGTACTTTGAGACATTCTTCCAACGTGTAAGGCAAGGCTTATTATTTACTATTATTATGATGATTTATTATTACGAATGAATGTGAGCGTATGAAAAGGTCAACCATAGATCTTTTTTTAAAATTAAGAGTTTAATTTAGAAATTTCAACTCTCTGAGCTAAAAATTGAAAGGGTAAAACTAACTGATGGAACAGATTGTTCAAAAGAATGTAGCTTGAGGTTACGGTTTCCACTTGGTTTTGTAAAATGTGCTTTTTTTTAGATAAAAAGTTAAAAAAATGAATGATTGAAACATTGAAATGATGTAATATTAGTGATCAGCATCAACAAGCAAAGACATTTTGAAGTTTTTTGACTAACTTGTAGTGTTGAAAGCTCTATAAAGTGCTAGAAAGTGCATGTACTGACACTGTATGCCTATTGAATGATTTTCAGCATTAGGTAATAATAAGCCTTGCATTTGAGGTAACGCCCTATCATGTCGTCGAAAAAGTCCCAAAGCGCTTCTGAGGAATTACTTTAATGTGTAGTGACTGTGTGTTTGAAGGCGATTGTGAGTCTCCCACGAAATGTGCCATTACAAAAATATTACATTGAGGGAAAACAAATTCTATTCTATGTTAGCGGGTTGAACTGTTTGTGATACAGAGAATTGAAATGTAAGCTTCAACTGCGTAATTACTTTATTGGAGTGAGCCATCGCCTGAACGTGCAGATTGACTGTACATTGAAGTAGAGGAAATAACAATAACAACAACAACAACAACGTGCAGATGTGCAGATTATAAAGAAAAAGAAATGTGCAGATTATAAAGATTAGCATACGTGCCACCAGACCGGGTTGAAGAGAAATAGTTCTCCTTCTTACTCAATGCCATCTAGTGGATTAAAGTTGATTCGCATCGTTCAATGACTCACTCTCTCTAAAGAAGCTGGGCAAATACATTCGATGAAATCTGGGTTAAAAAAAAACATCACTAAAGATCATGTAGGGTTCAGCATTGCACTCCAGAACATGTAGAGGTAGCGTAAAGAGTCATAAGCTTTCAAGGCAGGAGCAGGATTCCCTTTTGGTTAAACTTAGTGTACTGGTAACCAACGCACTGACCTTAAACAAGAAGGTTTCTAAAGGTGAATGGAACTGATTACTATCTGCCTTTGCCTCTCAATTTACACCTCTCCAGTTAGTGCTTGTACCGCATGGGGTCTGCACTGATTTCATACGAACAGAGCTGCAAGATGCTTCGCTTGGTAAAGAGCATCTGTTGTATAAATAGCTTGATTATAGTATGCTGCTACAGCACTTTACAGATGATTTATGCAACGGTAATGTCCATCCAGCTTGGTAGCAACTTTATTACTCATGTAAGCCCTCGACATAGTCCAACCTTCTCGAGTTGTGGGCACAGAATTAAGAGCAGCATTTCCAGACAGGAATGTCACAGCTTAAAATGTTTTCATCCATTCCCCGACGGTAAGTTGTTTTAGAAAGAGAAATCGGAATCGGATCAGTCCGAACTCATCCATACAACTGAACCCCGATCATGAAATGAATATAATAATAATAATAATAATAATAATAATAATAATAATAATAATAATAATAATAATAATAATAATAATAATAATAATAATAATAATAATAATAATATGTTTCCATTTGGTGTAGTACGTTTCACGCTGGGAAGATGCCATACACCACTTCACAGGATATACTTTGAAGTGCGGTGGCTGCGTATTTTGAAAGCAAATCAATCTGGCCACTGAATATTTGTGATGGTATTAAACAAATGTCCATTTGTAGTTCACTCAGTTCTAGTTCACAGTCTAGTTTTAGTTTGATGTTTTAAGAAAAGTGCACGAATTCTCTGGTGATTGAATAGACATTGCCAAAGGGGAAGAGACCTGGGGTCTTTTTGACTCATTGCTTATTGTGAGACAACAATGTGAGACATAAGAACATGCTAAATGAGCAAAAGACCAAGGTCCATCTAATTCGCCTTCCATCTTCCTGGAGGTTGCATCACATATGTTTTGAATTACCTATGTACTACATCCCATAAAATTGTTTCCTAAAAGAAAACTGTCTAATTTGTGCTTGAAGAAATCAACATTTCCTGCTTCAACCGTCTTCCCTAGGGAAACAGTAATAAACAAAGTATAAAGTGGACATTGCAGATCCCCAGAGGTTATGCTCAGGTTGCATTTGCAATACTGAGGACATCTGGGTTATTGAATGAATAGAAGCAGCAAAGGGCAAAGCAATGAAGCTGGTATCCCACGTAAGAAGGTTGAGCTAAAAGGAACAACTAGATAAACTAGCGCTCTTCAATCTCCAAAGAGGTATTACATTGGGTCCTTATAGATATTGTGTAGAATAAAGACATTAAACCCAGAGAAATTCTTTCAGATACATCAAGTCAGACACAGGGTGGGCCATAGGTTCAAGATTGCGAAGTACAAGTTCAGGCTGGCGCAGTGGGTAGTCAGGAGGTTGTGGGTTTAAGCCACCTATCGGGACTATGAGCTCACAGTTTAAGATTCAGTTCAGTTCAGTGCTGCAGATGCCCTGCATTGTCCTTTGGATGAGATATTAAACTGAAGTCTCACTATCTGTTCAGGTGGACATTAAATATCGATTATTCAGAAAGAGAAAAGAGTTTCAACCAATGCCCTCATTACCAATCTCCCAGATTAAATTGGACATTTTGGTTCAATGCTGTCAATACACTTTGGAGTAAAAATCCTCTGGAGGGCTTTGAGTTGTTTCAACGAGGTGATAAGGCACTGTATCAAACGTAAGAATTATTATTATTAGGACAGACAACAGGAAGTATCTCTTAATAATTTCCAACTGGAAAGAGTGATCAGGAAACGTAGATGAGGTTAGGACATGGGATTCATTTAAGAATCAGTTTGCTGGGAGTGGAAAGATGGCAGACTTGGTAATCTGTAAGGATGAGATCAAATGGACCAAATAATCATCTTCATCCAGATACCTCATGTGACCTTACAGCTCTATTAATAGGAGTGGAGACTAGTTCACATGCTATTTGCTGTTCACATGTCTGAACATATCACTTTAGCCTCTAAATCAGGGTGTCACTGGACAGAATTCAATAGACTGAGACTTTGCTTTGTGGTATAACAGGAGAATATTTCAGCAGTGCCTGAGGTATAGCAATTATCTGGGGAGCCAGTGAGTGAATGATTGAATGAGCAAGTCCTACAAATCCTTTCATTTGATACAGAGTCTTTGACATCAAAATGGACGTCTCAAAACACTTCAGAGGATTTACTCCAAAGTGTAATAACTGTGTATTTGGTAGGTGAAATGCTGCAGCCAATTTGCACATAACAATGTCCCACAGACACTCACAAGGTGAATTTTGTTAATTTTATCTGGTGGATTGTTGGCCAGGACATTGGAAGAAGCTCCCTCTTCTTTACGAGTAGTGCCAGATGATCTTTAACGTCCACCTGAACAGGCAGACAAGACCTGGGTTGACTGTCTCATCTGAAGAAATTCACCTCCAACAAAGCGGCACTCTCCCAGCTCTGCACTAAAGTGTCAGCCTAGACTATGTGAGTTCAAAGACCTGACAAGTAGCTAGAACCCACAACCTTCTGACTCAGAGGCATCTGAGGTAGGTTGGCATTAGAGGTGTGAGCGAATTTATATATAGGAATATTGTTGTCACTTGGAAGATACTTGATTTACTCAATGGGGACATAGTTTTGAATAGAGTCCAAGGAATATCTAAATAAGTTTGCAACACAGCATGTTGCTGTCCACGGTTCAGCATTATTTCGACACATTGGTGAATTATGAGATTGGGGTTTCATATGTATGAAATATCAGTTCTCTGGGCACGGATCACACATCATATATGGAACGTAATATGCTACAAATACATATCTATTAAGTCTACCTTTGCAGGGCCTGGCAACAAGTTAGTTACGTTCACTGGGATACCAAGGAGTAGGGAGTTAAATTAATTAAGTTAAATTAAAGGAAAATTAATAGTAAATATTAATATTGCTTGCATTTAATATAGCGTCTTTCATGTCAGGAGATCACCTCAAAGCGCTTCACAGGATATACTATGACATGTTATGACTGTATTTCTAGGTCAATGCAGCAGCTAATTTGCCCAAAGCAATGTCCCCAAAGAGCCATGAAGTGAGTGACCAATGTTATCTGGACGATTGTTGGCCATGATCCCGTGGGAAACTCCCTTTTCTTTTCAAATAGTACCATGCGATCTTTAGCGTCCACCTGAATAGGCAGACGGGACCATTCAGAGCAAGGCATTCATTCAACCCCATCGTCCTGCCACCTCCTATCCCAATACCCCTTCAAGCTTCTGAAATCTTTCATATGCCACTGCACATTACAGTACAACGTGGGAAGCACTTTGAGACCATTATCCCCATTTTTGTCAGTCTTCACTGTGCTCCAATGGAACATCTTCAAGATAGTCATCCAAACTTGCACGCCCTTGCCCTGCATTGCCTCTACAATCATTTTCAAACTCTGCTTTCCGTCCTACTCTCTTTGCTCCACAAACCAAGATTGCTGCCAATCTTTCGTCCCTTGCACAGCAATATCAGCAGCCAAGTTTTCAGACACTGTGTCCTGCTCTTGGAACTCAGTTCACCTCAATCCCTCTTTCCATTTCTTCAAAACACTTCAGAGATTCTAGCTCTTCAACCATGCCTTCAACCATCTCCCCATACCCCATCTCTTCCCACCTTTGGGAGGGAAGCACGTTGAGACGTCGCAAAGGCGTGATGCGCTACATTAAATGCAAGGAGTATTATTGCCTTGCTTAGTTTCCTACCCCTCGCCTCCTCCGCAGATGAAAAACGTTCCAAGATGTTCTTTCACATGTAAGGTGCAATGTAAGTGTCAGTTCCGATCACTGTGTGATGTGTGCTGTGTTCTTATGATCAACAGCTATGACATTGTAATCGTTTGGGCAAGTAAAGCAAGACAACGTCAAAATGAGCAAGAATTTGAACATGACGAATAACTCAGCGCCAAGTAAGACTGATGTGATCTCATTGAAAAAGATTTGAACGTTTCCACTATGTTCAGTAATTTACAAAGATTGTACAGCAAGGAAACAGGCCATTCGGCCCAACTAGTTCATGCCGGAAATAGAAAAGAGCATTAAGCCACTCGCATAGAATAAGATAGAATGATGTTTGCGACACTTATTACTTTGATATTAATGTGAAAATCTGATTCTTAAATGTCAAGTCGCCAATTTTTCTTTCTTTGAAATTGAAATCATTGGATTTCTCTTGGTGACTTTCCATTCGCTGGTCTGTAAGCAATAATTACCTCTGTGATATTCTACAAAAGCGAAACCCTTCTTTTGTTTCTCTCAATTCTTTCAGTCGTCAAGAAGTCGATTATACCAGGAGTCACCATTCTACAGTTCGTAGAAAATATTCCTGAAGGATGCAACGCACCCAATATTTTACGCAAACCTCTGCCACTCACCAAACCAGAGGGTAAGGAGACACTAAAAACAGAAAATTTCTCTTTCTCTTTTTCCTACTTAACCTGGAGGAAGAACCAAGTACCATTGTGTCCTATAACAACATGCATTTATATTGTACCCTTCATGAAGAGTATTGCCTTTGAGATCTTTCAATGGTAGGGTGGTGGTGAGCGTGCGGGGCAGTGAGGGGAAGGGGGGGAGTGAAGGATGTGACAGGCATCGAAGTGGCAGGTCTTAAGGCAGAACTTCAAGACAGATTGAGAGCTGATATGGAGGGGTTGACGGAGGGAGCTATAGTAATAATAACAAAAACAGAAGTCGCTGGGAACACTCAGCAGGTCAGGCAGCATTTATGGAGAAAGGGAATTGAGTCAATGTTTTGGGTCCATGACCCTTTGAAGAAATTATCAGCCCCTGGAAATTCGATCCGCCAGTCGACCAACAACTGGGTTCCTATTTACTGCTTGGTGAACAGAGGCGTGTGCAGTAAGGAAACTTGCCCAACATTTCGTTCTGCCGGGAATCAAACCCTGGTCTCTCGCTTGCGAAGCGAGTGCTCTAACCACTGAGCTATAGGACTCCAGAGGGAGTTCCAGAGGTCAGGGGATTAGAATTGAAAACCTGGCCCACCAGTGGTGTCATTGGGTTCGTAGTGGGGGGTGAAGTGGGTGGAGAAGGCAGGGGTTATGCAGCAGCTGAGGTTAAGCCGTACTGATCAGATTATGTAAGATAGCAACCTTGGTCTGTGCGGGGTTGGCTGATTTCAGTCAGGGCAGTAGTTGGGCTGCTAATGTGTTTCACTGCTGGGCTGGGAAGAGAGGGGGAAGGTGAGGATGTTAAATTCCTGCTCCCAGTTCCTCCAGGTGGTGTCAGGTGTGGTTGCTGCCCTCGCTGCCACAAACTGCAACAACCACAACAACAACTTGCATTAATATAGCGCCCATCACACAGGGTAGCGTCCCAGAGCACTATCTTATGTGACGGCCGCTATATAGTACCACAAACGGCAACATTCAACCCCCAAGAATGCAGTGCACTATTAGTGTAATTTCACACGGCTGTTTTATTTGTAACATTGACAGATGGTGCACAAGTATTCTACGAATGCAGAGAACTGCAACAGAAATACAGTTCAATTAAGAATAGTGGGGTTCACTTCAAATATATTGAATCCAATATTAAGTGTAACATCAAGCACACTTTGCATGACACAGTTCACAATTTATTGCTTTCAGGGGAATCGGTAACTGAGCTCACAGATTTCTGAGTCACAATTTGTTGTATATAACAAATAAAAATCCTTCCATCTGATAAAGCGTCTTATCACGTCATTGAGATGTCTCAAAGCGCTTCACGCTGTAAAGTGAATTGACTGTATATTTTGTGTGCTTGAGATTGTGTTAACATTTGTACATTTACTACTTCTTTTTAAGGTGCAAGTGCTACGTTTAAAGCAGTGACAGAAGGAAACCCAAAGTGCTCTTTCATCTGGTCGCACAAAGGAAAAAACCTTGCGAATGGAAAGAAACATAAAATACTCCACAACAAACTAATGACTGAATTTACTTTACAGGTAGGAATGATATTCATTTGAGTATCTTAAAATCGTGAAATTCAATAGATTTCTTGGGAAATATTAGTGGCCTGAAATTCGGTTCAGTCTCCGCAAGTTTTGCACTAAATTAATCCTTGAATTTTGATTTAATGTCTTGATACTCCAGAATAATGGGGCAGTGCTGGGGCAGTTCTGCTTTGAAATGAGATACTAAACTGAGGTCCCATCTGCCTGCTTGGTTGCACGTTAAAGATCCCATGGCACTATTGGAAAAGAGAAGAGAGTTCCTCCCGATATCCTGACCATCAATCCCCCAGATAAAACCGGTCATTCACATAAAAGTTTGTGGGTCATTGCTATGTGTAAATTGACTGCTGTGTTTGTATATGACTCGATGACCTGATAAGGCGCTATATCAAACGCAAGGATTGTTATTGTTTTATTTTCCGTCGGACATCACACAGAAACAAACAAACGAAACGAACGACTGATTTAATTGTCAATTTGGTAACTTCACTCAGAGAATTTGTGGTGGGAAACAGAAATGTCAGATTGGCGCAGTAACAATGCTCCTTTGATTTTGGCCAAAGACACAGTGATGAGGCCATGTTTGACGATATCACTTTGTGCAGAAATGCTTCATTCCTCAGCAAAGTGGCAAGGGTTAAAATGTCTAAAAGGTAAAGAAACTTTATATCAAATCAAAAGGACTACCCTCAACAATATTGGCTGGGAACCTGAAAGAGGGCAGTGAGACATGTGGGTGGGTGGGAGTCAATTGGTGGGAAGCTGAAGGGCATGGGGAAAGGAAAGTTGACCAAAACCGCAATCAAAGACATACGATCATTGAAGAACCTGGTGTCAGAATCAGTAACATTATATAAAGCCAATTAAAATTTATCAATTTTAAAATGCCTGCGGTAGACACAGAGAATGTTCTCCATAGCAACAATGCCTGTTTCTTATTGTGCTTCCTATTTATTTTAAGATAAAAAAATTGACTATCAGTGATGCTGGTTACTACAAATGCACGGCTTCCAATGAGTACGGAGAGGCTTTCTGCACAGTCAATCTCATCGTTGCACAGGGTAAGATTGCATCTCAATACTTCGGATACTGAGCACTAGGAATTCTCAGTGAGACAATCCAAGCAAGTTACCACTCCAGTCACGGTTGTGTTTGAATGAGTTGAGCCCTAGCATTACCTAAACATTTCTTCCAGTAATCAACTGTGAAGTATAATTGAATGGGGAAATGACGGCAGCTTTTGTACAGCATCAAAGAGAAATCAGTGACCAGGACATCAGGACAGATATCAGGAAGCTTTTTAGTTTATCCACAGGGTCATTAATGAGCGTAAGGGTAGTTGAGGCCAGGAGCTGGACTCATTTCAAAATATGTCTTGATGTTGTGATGGGGGAACGGTAAGGTGGGTGTTCTGGAGGGATGAGATCAGACAGCCAAACTGATTTTGTGAGCTTGTTTGATATCTATGAGGTAAGAAACCTCGTGGGAAAAAGATCTGCCAACGATGAGTGTTAACATTTCTATTTTTTTAAAAAAATTAACGTTTATAGAACCCTTTTTGCATTGAGGGAATTCTCAAAGGGCTTTCCACAGCAGATTGGAAGCTGGAGTTATGTGGGAGAAGTGTTGAAAGTGGCTGAATGCAGTTTAAGTTGGGTCTTACGGTGGGTTTTGAAGGGAGGGAACAAGGCAGAGGGAGTCAGGGATGGAATTCCAGAGTGTTGCGGTCAAATTGGCTATATTTTAAAGCTGTATAAAATACACTGAAATCGTATTACGATCAGACCGTGCCTTGAAATTTATTTTCTAAAATTATTTTTTATTCTATCAGCACATGGTTCAGATCCCGCCGATTTTCTGAAGATATTGAAAAAACGGTAAGCGATTATAACAACCTCACATTTGGTGTCAGGCCTATCAATTTCAAAAACATCCCAAAGCGCTTGACAAGGTCTCTGTAAAGTGTGGTGTCTGTGTGGTTTGCAGGCAAATGCGGCAGTCAGTTTGCGCACAGCGATGTCCCACACACTGCCGGAGCCATTTTTTTTTAACCTGAAGGTGTTTCGTCCAGGACACCAGGAGAAGCTCCGCTCTCCTTTCAAATAGCAACAATAATGTCCACCTGTACAGATAGGTAGGACCTTGGTTTCACGTGTCACCTGAGGGATGCCACCTCTAACAATGCAGCAAAAAACCAAACCCCTCCCAGCAATAGATTGGAAAGTTAGACTGGAGGACAATGAGCTCAAAATTCCGACGTGGGGCTTGAACCCACAAAATGTTGGAAGTTTGTAGTTTTACTTTGTACTCAGTAGAGGGGTTGGGGCTGGGGTGGGGGGGGGAGGGCGGGGGAGAGGAGGGATTTCATTGAAGCACCTGCACTGCTGGTTTTCCTTTGACTTGACTCTAACACTGTCTTAATTGTAAAATCTCCAGCCGTGGTTTTCGGTATGATCTGAGATTGTCCCCAATTTAGTGGAAGGATCCATAATCCAAACTCCAGGCTCTGTGCCAACCGCAGTACAGCTTCAACGGGGGACGGTGGATTATTTAGCTCTGGCGTCCCCTACTGTCAACAAGCTGCAAACACTCACTCACTGAGGCTCAGCAGTGAATAACGGACAGTTCGATGGGATGGGATGATGGAAGGCAACTGATCCATGGAACATTAGAACGCTATCTTCAGGAGGAGAAACTTGGGGAAAAAAATATATATCCAGACTGATCCCATTGTAGTTTGCTTCAGTACAGCACTGGGTCAGTTTACTGTCTCTCCACTTCTGGCTTCTAGCGCATAGGGTATTTGGCCAGCAAGATCATTTAGATTGCGTGTGCATATTATATAATATTATACAATAATAATAATCCTTACAATTGGTATAGGGCCTTTCGCTTCAAAGCACTTCACAGGATATACTGTAAAGTGTTTTGTGTTTTGTGGACGAACGTGACTCTATGTCAATAAAAAGGAATATTAGATTGTTCTATTCCTCATTCCAGCGAAGCAACAGAAAAGAAAGAGGAATTTTCGGAAGAGTACGTCTGGGAGATTCTGATGGAAGCAGACAAGAAAGACTATGAAAAGATTTGCCACAAATACGGTATCACTAACTATCGCTACATGTTGAAACAATTGAATCAGATGAAAAAAGAAAGAGAGGAAAAGCAAGCAGAGGTGAATCATGTATCTGTTGTGTTGGAACGACAATGTTTCCTGGCTTAATGAGATGATGTGACTTTTCGTTTTTAATTCACAGAGAAGAGAAGGAATGACAAATGGGACAATTTGCTCTGATTACAACAGACAATAATAATAATAATCCTTGTATTTGATATAGCACCTTATCACATTAATGCAGCATTTTTTTATTTATTTGTTTGTTTGTTTGTTTGTTTATTTATTTAGCATTTACACAGCTCCTTTCATGTGGGGAGGATGTCTCAAAGCGTTTCATAGAGCTGGCTGGATCCTGAGTCGGGGAAAGGCACAGTTATAAAAAATTGGAGGAAATAAACTGAGTCGGTAACTAAAGACCTGCTGTTGGTCTGAAGCTCATCTCATTCCCTTACTTCCAAAGAAATGTCAGGCTCAAAAACAGCTCAATGTCGAAAGCCTTTGGAGTTGCCACCTGCAAAGCCTTTGGTTGCCTCTTTAATGATTCTTTTTGTTTAACGAGGTGTCTGACACTGGAGTGTAGGTACCATACATATGTAGGACTCAGTTTAGTTTGGATTTCCACATGTGTCAGGCGCAGGTTAAACGGATTCAATCTTAATTTAGTCTTATTCAATCTTAATCTTTGTTAAACGGATTCAATCTTAATTTAGTCTAACCAAGCATCAATTACATTTCACATTACTTGAGTCAACACAGTTGCGTTTCGATCCAGCGTATATATTGGACTGCAATCATTTCTTACTATGGTTATTAAGATGTAATTTCCATGTTTCATGCATTTGGCAGTTTTAAAGATTGAATTGCTACTACCTGCATCTATTTTCTGGGCTCTTGCTATCTTTCCTCTTCGAATAAGCTTTGAAACATTCCTCCACAGAAGCCCTGACTTGTAATTCACTTCATTATGAATCTCAAATGCAATATTGAGCCTTTTGAATATCCTGGTGTTGATTTAATTCACAACCTCTTCTTTGCCTGCAGGGACCAAGATGTCAAGGGGCCTAACTACTGATGGCTGAAACCTGCATCATTTAGCCATTACGCTTATCATACTATCAAGCTGTTTTATTTTTAAATAGATATAGGCGGGAGAGAGGAAGTACCTAAATTATTGTAACTCAGACCTGGGTCAGACAGAACCGAACGTGCACATGTGGACATAGTTCCAAAACAGAGGTTAATTAACACAGCTGAGGCTTACATTCCTCACACCCCACTCTCAACAGCCAAGCCTTCACTGGTCCATGTGGCTTCCTCTGTCCTGTCCTAAAGGCAACAGGACCTCCCTGTGTCACAGTCCAGAGCCGACAGAGCTTCCTGAAAGGGCCTCGATCACCTGCTTTATGAAGCCCAGGCCTTCAACTCTCATCTCTGGTGCAAACTCCTCCGCCCCACCTTAAGGAGCCTACCACACTGCCAAAGTCCATCATAGTACACCATTAGCACGACACAGCTTCAGTTTGACCAACGTTAACCAAATTTGAAATTGATTTCTGGTTCACATTGAATCTAGAGTAGGGTGACCATATTTTGTAAACTAAATCTGGGGACAAATATTACAAAAATTGAAACCACCACAATTCCTGATGCTGGCAATACCAGAGAAGCTTGTTGGCTGGGTTTCTCTGATGAGTGTATCTGTTTTGCTGAACTCAACAGAGTGCAAATTTAGACACAATCCCTCATTCTCAGAAATCAGGGATTTTATGATCACCCTAAACTAGAGCAATTTATCAAATGGAAGTGGAAGAGTACATCTTATTGAATTGCCTACAGCAGGGTAGTAATTCGCTGACATAGTCCCTCTGTTTTTCACAAAACCTTGGTCCAAAATAGTGGATCCTGGGAGATGTTTCGTTCAGTTACAGTATTTTTTTTCACACTGTGTGTTTGGACAAGTCGCTGCCCCCCTTGAATGTGTTCTTTAACTCTCGCGTTTCTTTTCTAGTATGTGACATCCATTGCTAATCTGAAGCGTGTGGAAACAAAGAAAGATGGTAGCTGCACATTTGGATTTGAAATGGACCTCAAAAATCCAGCCAGCAAAATTTTTCTATACAAGGTGATCATCAATTCTGCTTCGATACAGTGAAGTGTTCAACAATACTGCTATTGATCACACATTAGCCAGCCCCAGCAATTCCCTCCCTCTGTGATCGTCTCCTATCCCACTCTTGCGCTGCGGAGAGATTTGAACGTGAGACGGAGGATCTGGAATTCGATCTACTGGGAGAATGAAGATCCGGTGGAGCTGGGCGAGGATAGAAGTAATGGGCTCGTGGAGCCTTGTCCAGGAAAGGACATGGGCTGCAGAGTTCTAGATGGTCTGGAGCTTGTGTAGAGAGTTAGCTAGGGGAGATGGGGGGTTGCCCAGCCATCAAGGATTTGGAATTATCGAGCCCAGATGTGATGATGGCCTGGATGCGGGTCTCAGCAGCAACACTGGAAGGAGAGAGGTAGTGATGGTCGGGTGCAGTAGAGCACTTTACACATAATTCATTAGTAATGAGTAAGGAAGAGTATTAAAATTGCGGCTGGGGATAGTACTATTCAAATACTATACTGTACTGAAAAGCTACGACAAGCTGATATTTTTGTAGTAACTGTGCAATGGTGATTGTAGATGCCTGTGTGGCTGGAATACAGGCCTAAAGCTCCATCTACTGCACAACTGTCTGAAAGCCAATCTCTGGAACTCCACTGCGGAGTCATAGTAACATAGGAACAGGAGTAGCCCCATTCAGCCCCTCAAGCCTGTTCCGTCATTCTATTAGATCATGGCTGATCTGTACCTCAACTTCAATTCCCCTGCCTTTGGCTCATATCGCTTGACACCCATTTCTAACAAGAATCTATCCACCTCAGTCTTGAAAATTTGAATTGATCCATCATCTACAGCCTTTTGGGGAAGAGAGTTCCAGATTTCCACTACCCTTTGCACGAAAAAATGCTTCCTGATTTCACTCCTAACTGGCCTAGCTATAATTTCAAGTTTATGCCTTATTGTCTGAGTCCCTCTGCCTCACACCCTTACCCCTTCTTCCACTCTATCTTCAAATCTACCTCAAGCCCCATCTTCTCGACCATACTTTTGGTCACCCCCATGAACATCTCTCTCCCTCCCCACTCCCACCACTACCTCAGGTTCCCAGTCCAATGGACAAAGCATAGTGAGACATCCTTCTGACATGAAAAGCGGGATTAAAATGTAAATAATAATATTAATAATCCTTGCATACGACACAGCGCCTTATCACTTCGTCGAGGTGTCTCATGAGCACTTCACACAATGTATCGTAAAGTGGACTGACTGTATATTTTGTGGGTGAAATGTGGAAGCCAATTGCGCACAGGACTGTCCCACAAATAATCGTGGATTGAGTGTCCACATTTTTTGGGTGAGGTAATATAACCCCCGGAAATGATCCAGCAATCAATTAACAAGCAGGTTCCTATTCACTGCTAGGTAAACAGAGGTGTGATCAGTAAGGAAACTTGCCTAACCTTTGATGCTGTTGTGAATTTTGGGGTAGAGGAGAAGTGTGGTGGTGGTGGGGGAGAGAAGAAAGAGTGAGGAGCTAGACAGAAAAAAGAAATGTTATCAGACTGAATATACTGAACCAGCAGCATGTCACATTGATGGTTCTTACAGAATGGGGAAATGATCTCATATGATACTGAAGAGATGATGAGACATTATCTGAAACAAGTCGGCAAGAAGTACACCTTTTGCATTAAAGATCTCCAACCTGATGATGTGGGAATGTACAGGGTTGATGTTGAAGATGCCACTGTGTTCTCCACCGCGATTGAAGAAAGTGGTAAGTGACATTCTTTGCCGTGAGATTCCAAATTAATTCCTTGCCTGCCCGCCTTTGACTGGGCCACCTTTAAGAGACCTTCCCCACCCTTGCCCCTCCTCAGCCTCCTGCCCTCAGCCCCCACCACCAACCGCATGTATCAATAACACATTTTTATTGCACTTCTTAATCCCTCTGCTCCTTTGTTCTATTTGTTTTGTTGCAGCCATCCCAGTTGGTTTTACTTATCAGCTGAGCGACGTGAAGTGTGAGGAGTCAGAAGATGCCGTCTTTGAGTGTGCCTCCTCTGTACCACTTGTGGCGAATTGGACCTTCGGATCTCAGTCACTAGCAGACGGTGACAAATACCAAATTGAAGTTTCACCAGATAGTTTGATGCATTCCCTGACTGTAAAGGACATCTCTCCTGCCGACAGTGGACTTTATACTATTTCTGCAGGCGAGCTATCGTCTAGCGCACGTCTTATACTGGAAGGTGAGTGTCAATCATTATTAGATTCTATTACAGGAGGAACTCCATTCTAATGTCCTTAAATATAGGCAGAGTGTACAGCTCTTCCTTGGTCCATTTCCAGTGTAACACACTCACTTTTCAATGACATTGCTGACATGCTGGCTTCCCAAAGCTAAACAATCACCCTCTTCGGGTTACCAGATCTCCGCTGACATCACTTCATGTTTACTGCGCACACATTCTGTGCACGGGTAGCACCACTGATGTCACTTAGTTTATAAAGGAAATGGTGTTATCGGCGTTTCCTGAGCATAGAGCATGCACAGCAAGGCCCAGGAAGTAACATCAATGGTAACCTGACGATCTGGAAGCCAGCCATTTTCGTTTGCCTCGCTTATAACACGGCTGCTGAGCTGGGCGCATTACAATGAGGTTTCCCCCTTACCCACGTATCTCATCATCAAACAGGTTTGAAACTTTTCTGGACTTTGACATAAGTAAGTTTATCGTCATTATAAAGCACCATTAAAAAAAAATGGAAGTGGTTGGCATAGATGTGGGATCTTTAACCTAGGATCTTTGTACACCTTCATTCACATTGTTGGTGGAATGGTTAATTCTCCAGGAGCTCTGACAATTGAATGATTAAGCCTGATAGATTAGATCTGTGGACAAAAGTGCCGCGCTTGTGCACGATTGCTCACGTTTGACAAGAAAAGCATTCAAATCCTTTAATTCCTGATCAGCTGTGTCAAAACTCCCTCCAGTCCAACGCTGTGATAAAATAGTAACGCTTACTTTTGGTGTATCGCATTTCACGTTCCATAAGACGTCCCAAAGCATTTCACACGATACATGATAAAGTGCATTGGCTATATTTTGTGGGCGAACGCAGCAGCCAGTTTGCGCCAAGCTATGTCCCACAAACAGCCAAACAATGAACGACCAATGTTATTTTGGGAGATTGTCAGCCAGGAATCATTACTTACATGTCCTAATGTTGGGGCAGCGTCAAACAATGGTGACAAATGCTTAAATTCATCAATTGAGTCCATGCGTGCTTAGATTTTATCATTTATCTTTTTAGAATCCAGTTATTTCATAGCTGCTTTTGATATGGATATTTTTTATGTTTGTTTAAAATTGCTGAAAGCTTCTCTTTCCTTTTCTATTTTATCTTTTGACAATTCTATTATTTTGTCGGTGGAGAAGATAGCAATTTATCCGGCAAGAGTTCTAAACATGGTCAAAGGCGAGGGTTGCATGGCAGCGATCTAGATGGTCTTAACAAACTCAAGTCTTCACAAGATGGTACTAACAGTCAGCGTGGTAAGGGAGATGGGCAGAATTCCTCAAAGGATGGAATGAATAGAATGGGAAAAGACGGACGCGATGGATTGGATGGAATGGGAAGAGATGGAAGTAGCGGATTGGATGGAATGGGAAGAGATGGCCGCAGCGGATTGGATGGAATGGGAAGAGATGGCCGCAGCGGATTGGATGGAATGGGAAGAGATGGCCGCAGCGGATTGGATGGAATGGGAAGAGATGGCCGCAGCGGATTGGATGGAATGGGAAGAGATGGCCTCAGCGGATTGGATGGAATGGGAAGAGATGGCCGCAGCGGATTGGATGGAATGGGAAAAGATGGCCGCAGCGGATTGGATGGAATGGGAAGAGATGGCCGCAGTGGATTGGATGGAATGGGAAGAGATGGCCGCAGTGGATTGGATGGGATGGGAAGAGATGGCCGCAGCGGATTGGATGGAATGGGAAGAGATGGCCGCAGTGGATTGGATGGGATGGGAAGAGATGGAAGTAGCGGAGTGGATGGAATGGGAAGAGATGGAAGTAGCGGATTGGATGGAATGGGAAGAGATGGCCGAGGCGGATTGGATGGAATGGGAAGAGATGGCCGAGGTGGATTGGATGGGATGGGAAGAGATGGCCACAGCGGATTGGATGGTACGGGAAAAGATGGACGGGCCGGATTGGATGGAATGGGAAGAGATGGAAGTAGCGGATTGGACGGAATGGGAAAAGATGGAAGTAGCGGAATGGACAGAATGGGAAGAGATGGCCGTAGCGGATTGGACGGAATGGGAAGAGATGGAAGCAGCGGATTGGACGGAATGGGAAGAGATGGAAGCAGCGGATTGGACGGGATGGGCAGAGATGGAAGCAGCGGATTGGACGGGATGGGCAGAGATGGAAGCAGCGGATTGGATGGAATGGGAAGAGACGGCCGCAGCGGATTGGATGGAATGGGAAGAGATGGAAGCAGCGGATTGGACGGAATGGGAAAAGACGGACGTGGCGGATTGGATGGAATGGGAGCAGACGGATTGGCTGGTTCCGGTGGTGACGGTAAAACCGGATTTGGGGGATTGGGAAATAATCTTAATGCTAGTTCCCACATTCGGGGGAAAGATGAAAATTATTCGACAGGGCTTGGCGACTCCAGCAATGATGCCAATAAAAACAAAGGTCTGTCCGGCGCGAGTGGGTCTGGCCAAGACGGACAAGGCTTGCAAGATTCCACTTCGAACAGAGATGACAGTCAGAAAGGCTCTTCTCGGAGGCGGCAGACATCGATGCAAGACGACTCTCTGGCTAGTGGTAAATGATGCAGTGTTAAAGCATGAAGCCAGTGACATTCCTGGTGCAAATTGTGCTGCTTACTGTTCTCTGAAATTAAGACTGCGATTTATTTGGGTTTTGTCTAATGTGCAACTCTTAACCAATCTGTTTACTGAGAGCTTTTCGCCTCACTGCCTGAATTTTGTTTTGCAAATGATACATGCAAGGCACGACACGTTTGCTGCTGTTCATGACTATTACCTCTGTTTTAAATCCAAATACGGTGGTGTTATGGATTGGCATTCTGTGACGATCATAACTTTCTTGCTTGTGCTTTGGCGGGAACAGGGGTAATTGAAAGCCACCAGGAAAAGACCGAAGTTTAACCTAGAAATAATAATAATAAACCTTGCATTTGATACAAATGCATTAGCACTCCGTCGAAACGCCTCAAAGCACTTCATAGGATTTACCTCGAAACGAACAGCTTTTAATGGGAGTTCCTAAGCATGCGTTCAGTTGTTTATGTACAGAACTCTTCTGAGCTTCCATTTACTGTACATTCTGCAGAACATACAGTATATAGTAGCGTTCTGATGAATTTGGGCTCACTTTGCCAAAACATTTCACTGCTTCAGGTCCAGCAGTATCAACTGGCATTAGGAAAGCTTTGCTGTGTGGCTCTATTGTTTTGCATTTCCTGTGCTGCGTATCGCATTCATCTTGTGCCTCATCACAGATTCAGCCCGTCATTTCAAAACCGGCCTCTCAAATGTTAGCGTTCGAAAGGGACAGGACACTGAGCTGTGCTGTGTGTTGGCCAGTGAGATGTCAGACGGCTGCTGGTATAAGAATGGCAAAAAGGTAAGCCTTAATATTTATCCGAGTGGCTTTTCAGATTATAATAATATGAATAATGATACTAAAATAACAAACAAACAAAAAAAATTCTTGCATTTGGTACAGCTCCATGTCACGTCGTCGAGATGTCTGAAAGCACTGTAAAGTGATGCGACTGTGTGTATTTTGTCGGTGAACGCTGCAACCAATATGCACACAGATATCCCACAAAACAGCCAAATAGACAGAATGCAAAGTGTTAAGTTATTACAAAGTGCATTCACTTTTGTTCTGCAGCATATTTGCATGTGATACATTTGCTTGTTCAGCTGTAAAACCCTTGCGTTAGTACAGTATTTGTAGCTTGGTTGGGTCAGTCTTCATAGAGCAGATGCAGCTAGTCTCCATTTTTTAATTTTTTTGTACATGCAGATAATTGCAGGAGACAAATCAGAAATGGTTAAGGACGGAACAAAGCACACGTTGAAATTACACAATGTTCAAGAGGAAGATTCAGGGATATATAGATTTGAATCCGATGGAAGAAAAACTGAAGCCTCTCTACTTATTGAAGGTAAAGTCTATAAGTTACCTATAATGCAAGTATAATAATAATACTTCTTTGCATTTGATACAGCACCTTAACACATCGTTAAAGCGTCTCAAGACGCTTCATAAGATTTGCTGTAAAATGTAGTGATTGTGTTTTGTAGGCAAAGTGGTACAGAGGAATGTGCCACAAGCAGCCAGGAGGTGAATGATGAATTTTACCAGGGGAATTTTGATCTGGACAACAGGGGAAGCTCCCTTTTCTTTTCGAATAATGCTAAGGGACCTTTAAAGTCCGCTCAGCTCCAACAACAACAACAATAATAATAATAACCCTTGCATTTGATATAGCTCTTTTCACGTTTTCGAGACGTCTCAAGGCGTTTCACAGAATATATCGTAAAGTGAATTGACTATATATTTTGTAGGAGAAACAATGCAGCAAACCCCACCACTGCAATGGAGTGTCAGCCTACACTGTGAGCTCTAAGCCCCAACATGGAGTATGAACCCACAACCTTCTGACTCTGAGGCGAGAGTAACTACCGACTGAGACAGACAGATGGCGAGAATGTGATACTCCTTGACAGAACCTGTGGTTGAAGCAGAAAGCATTACTACATCTCAGAGGAAACTTAACGTGCACATGAAGGGCTAAGGGAGATGGGAATAGGAAAGGTAGAGAATCGCGAGGAGAATAAACACCTTAGCAGACTTGATAGACCAAAAGTCCTGTTTCAGGGCTGTAAATTTCTATGCAATTCCACACAGTTTGTACGGTCTGCCTCTCTGAAGGGCTGTCACACCACTTAGAGGTCCATAGCCAATAATCAGGTCAATTACTTCTTCACTATCCTATCTGCACAGCAAGCGGTAGGAATGGAAATTAACAGGCAAGTTTAGAACAAAGTCTGAAGCTCACGTAAACCTCTGTAATTTTTCAGCCCGTTGAGTCCTTTGTCTCGCTCTTTGCCTTCAGAACCCCCGGAGCTCGATCAGGACGTGCTCAACCAGCTCAGGAAGAAACCCATAACGGTTAAGGCCGGTCACACGGCCACGGTGAAGGTTCCGTTCTCGGGGAAGCCGCCGGTGAAAGCGACTTGGTCCAAGGACGGGGATGAGCTGTTGGACGACAGGAGAATCTCCATCAGTAACGACGGGAAATTCACCCGATTGTCCATTTCCAACTGCAGCAGAAAGGACCGGGGGAAGCTATCAGTTAAACTGAGGAATGAAAGCGGCACTACGGAGACATTTGTGGCTGACCTGCTTGTTACTGGTAATATATCACTAAGTATATCAACAACGACGACGACAACTTGCATCTATACAGCGCCCTTCATGCAGGGCAGCATCTCGGAGCCTGACGCTGAGCCGGGTGGGGTGGGGTGGGGGGTGGGGGCATGGCGGGTGGGAGGTGACCGTAAGCACGGTCTGAGAGGAAGGTCGTCAATCATGATCTAAAGGAGTGGGCCGGGCGGAGGGATTGGGGGTTGAGAGAGTTCCAAAGTATCACTTGATGAAACACTCAACTCACTAACCCGAAAACGTGCGGTTTACTAAACACATTTGTTGTACTTTTGAGTTTGGGGCGAAAATGGGTAAATTAACACGACGCGACTTGCGCCTTTCAGATAAACCCCTTTCGCCTCAAGGCCCCGTAGAAGTTGTAGAAAGTTCAGAACATTGCATCGCCATCAAATGGAAGCCGGTCAGAGATGATGGGGGAGTGCCTTTGTCCCACTACACGGTCGAGAGACAGCAGGTCGGAAGAAACACGTGGAACAAAGTCGGGGACGTGGACAAGGACACGACGACAATCTCCACTGATAAGGTGGAGCCGCAGAAGAAGTACATGTTCCGAATCTGGGCTGTGAACCCCGAAGGTGTCAGTGAGTCACTGGTCTCAGATGCAGTGGCAGCCGGTATCAAAGGCAAGTCCTTGCGAGTCCTTAGCCTGGCTCAGTTGGTAGCGCTCTCGTCTCTGAATCAAGGTCTTAAACTCACATTGTGTGGGCTCACAATCCGATGGGGGGGGGGCAGGGGGGGAGTGCTTGTTTGCTTGTTTTGCTCCTTCAGGCTGACATTAAAGATCCCGCAGCGCTAAACGGAAAGAAAAGGGACTTTCATTCGGTATCCCCACCCCCCCACCCCAGATAAAATGAGTCTTTATGGCGGTTTGCGAGGTGTTGCTGTTTGCACACTGGCTTCCACAAACACAATGTCTTCACAGTATCTCCTGTGAAACATTTTCGCGGCACAAAGGACGCTGTATCAAATATGACAATGAATAGTAGTAGTTGCGTGGATAGACAAAAGAAAAATATCCACAGATAAATCAAATAATTTTCACCAAATGTGGTCACTTCATCTTACTTTCGTCGGAATTGTATTCCTCCAGCTCTCGCTGGGCCTCCAGCACCTCCAAAGATTGTGACCTCGAGCAGCAAAGCCATCAAACTCTCCTGGGCAGCACCACGCAGCTCAGGGGGATTACGACTCACTGGATACTTCATAGAGAAGCGCAAGAAAGGCAGCAACATCTGGAATACCATTAACGAAGAGCCCATACCAGGTCAGGTGCAGCATGACACTAAGAGCTTCTTAAAGCCTGAGTTATAAGAGTCATAGACGTTTACAGTGCAGAAGGAGACCTGTAGCTCAGTGGTTAGAGTGCTCGCCTTGCAAGCGAGAGGACCTGGGATCGATTCCCGGGTGGGGAGAAACGTTGGCAAGTTTCCTTGCTCCACAGGCCTCTGTTTACCTAGCAGTAAACAGGAGCCCGTTTGTTAGTCGATTGGTGGATCACTTTTCCGGGGGTAATAATTCCTTCAAAACAAAAAATTGGTCACTCAATCCATGACTGTTTGTGGGGCGCTGCTCTGCACAATTGGCTGCCACGTTTCGCCCACAAAATATACAGTCAATTCACTTTACAGTATGTTCTGTGAAGCGCTTTGAAATGTCAGATGTCAGTTCAAGATCCTGGTTCAAGGTACAAAGCCCTCCATGGTCTCGCTCCACCCTACCTCTGTGACCTCCTAACCCCCTAACAACCCGCCCGCTCCCTCCGCTCAGCCGGCTCCGGCCTGCTCCACGTCCCCCAACCCACCCACCCCACCATTGGTGGGAGAGCCTTCAGCCACTCTGCCCCCAACCTCTGGAATTCCTTCCCCCAATCACTCCACCTCGCCCCCTCCTTAGCCTCCTTCAAGTCCCGCCTCAAGACCCTTCTCTTCGACCATGCCATCGGCCACCCCCCTTCCCCTCCCTTCTCCCCCCTGACCCCAGCTCGGGTCTGAAATGCTGTACTCTGTCCAGCGCCTTGGGACGTCCTCCCGACGTGAAAGGCGCTATACAAACGTAATCTTGTTGTTGTTGATAAGGCACAAATGCAACAATTATTATTATTATTTGGGGCATCACATCTGACCTGGTTCTCATAGCAAGTTGTTCATTCAATCCCACTGCCCTGCCCTATTCTGATACCCCCTCAAGTTTTTATATACTTGTCTACTTCCCTCTCGAAAGCCACAGTGGTCTCTGCCTTCTGCGTTGTGAAGGCGTTTAATATCCGAAATCCTTGCAATTTTAAAGGCCACGCTTTCCCTTTCAAACTTTGCCTTTAATTAAGGCAAAAACGGCAAAAAATAAAATCCCATTTCTCACAGTTTTCCACCTGCATCTTCCGTAGATGTGAACGAGCTGTAACTACAAGCTGACAGCATTAACCCACGACACTCCAGCTTCCACCCCTTGGTTTGATACCTCTCTCCACCTTATCCTGCAAAGAAATGTTACCATTGTGATCTTTTTCCCCTAAAAATAACTCCCAGAAAACAACCCATTTGGCCAGCGTTACAGTATTTCCCAAAACCAAATTTGTAACTTTGTCTCAGGCTAGAATTTACATCCAGTCTTCATCTCACTGCTTACACAACTATTTTCTTCTGCCTTTCATGTGTTTCGCCTAACTCACAGCCCAGAGACAGCGCTCGTCAAAGTAACAAATGGCGTGCTCTCTCTCTCTCTCTCTCTCTCTGACCAGGGCCCCCTCTGCCTCCTCGTTCTCCTGGACCTCTCCGTCGCGTTTGACACAACCAATCATTTCCATCCTCCTTCACCTCCTCTCCTCACTCATCCACCTTAGTGGCACCTGCACCCACATGGTTCGAGTCCTACTTAACAAACCGCCAACAATACATCTCAGCAAATGTTTTTTCCTCCCGCGCCAGCCCGGTCACCTGCAGAGTACCTCAAGTCTCTATCCTTCCCTTCTTTTCCCTATCTACATGCTCTCTCTCAGCGACGTCATCCGCAAACATGGGGTCGACTTCCACATGTATGCAGATGACACCCAAAGTCTACTTCTCCTCCTCCAGCTGCAACTCCCAGTTTACTCTGCCCTCTTCTGGAATTCTCTTCCAAACTCCCTGTGCCTTGCCCACACCCTCTCCCTCCCTGGAGTCCCTCCACCTCATCTTCTCCCTTTCTGTTTTCAAAGCCCAGGTAAAGACCTATCTCTTTCACTGTGGCTTGTTCACCTTCCCCCTACCTGGCTTTTATAGAGAAACAGTCAGACAGCTTTCCGTTTTTTCTAAGTGATCTGGGACTCTACCGTGGGTGAGGGGAGCTATGTAAAAGCAAGTTGTTGGTGTTGTTTGAGTTCTTAAATGTTAACTGCATTCAGGTAACAAGGCATCTGAAAGAGATGAACGATTTGTAACGCTGTTGATAAAACTATGAATGATTTATAAAGTTCTCTCACATAGATTTGCAGTGGATAGTCACTGATGTAGTTGCAGGGCAGGAGTATGAATTCCGAGTGATAGCTGTCAACTCCTCTGGTCGCGGAGAACCCAGTGGTGAATCAGAGTCAGTCTTTGCACGGGAGCCAATGGGTAAGTCGTTTTAATGCGGAGAACTGCTGTAGATGAAAGGTTTTGCATGTAATAATACAAAAAAATGCCAGGCAAATGATCATAGGAACATTGACAAATTAGCAACATGCGTCCTTTGGATGCAGGACTTAAACCACGGTTGGAAGTGGAAATTAAAGGTCTCATTGCGCTATTCAGAGAGGGAGTTTCTCCCTATGTCCTGGCCAACAATTTTCCGATAAAATTGGTCACTCACTGCATGCTATTTGTGGGATATTGCTATGCACAAATTGACTGCTGTGTCCGCCCACAAAATACACAGTCTCTACACATTCACAGTATATCCTGTGAAGTGCTTTGAGACATCTTGATGACATGATAAGGCGCTTCGTATATCAAATGTAAAAGGATTATTATGATATTGTTGTAAACTGGAGAAGGCCATTTGGCTCTTTGAGCCCGTTCCTTCAAAGACTATTTCATGACTAACACATCACAACCTTCCTTTCCTTTACTGTGAAGAGAAGCGTCTGGTCTCCCCTCAGCACTTCCCCAGTGATCACTAGTACGCAGCGGGAGTTTGGGTCGACTGATATTACTGTATCAAGCCGCTGCTTCTGCACAGTGGACCTCCCGTGACTTGGCTGGACACGTAGAATTGATATGGTGCAGTTTAAACACCTTAAACAACTCACTTGCGAGTAGCTGAAGGCGTCCTTATTATGACGAGGAATTTACTTACGCCCAGCCTTCTGTCAACGTGTAATTAGAAAACCCAGGCAAAAATACCCTCTGAGTAATAATTTATTTTACGTCCGATAATCATAAAGAAGCATGATGTAGTTATTTAATGGTTCCATTTGAAATCCTATTCCACAATCTATTGTTGCCAATCTATTCACCTGTAAAAATACACCAGTCACTACCCTGTACAGTAAAAATCCTGTGAAACACTTTGAGCTGTCTCAAAGACCTGACAGGATGCTATATCAAATGCAAGGATTATTAATTATCACTGTAAAGCCATGTTTTAGATTGGCATTCGACGCTCATACATATAATTTTCTAATTGCGGATTTGCTCCAACTAATTTCAACTGTCACACCAATACAGTGTTGGGGGTGCACTGAATTGTTGGAGGTGCCGTCCTTTGGGGGCATAACACTAACATCCCTTCCACCCGTTCAGATGGCTATGGCAATTTCTCATGGTCTTCTGGCCAACAATTTACTCCCTACACACCCCACCCCCAGATAAAATTGATCACTCACTCCATTGCTGTTTGTGCTGTGCGCAAATTAGCTGTCGTGTTCTCCTACCAATACACAGTCATTACACCTGACAGTAAAATCCTATGAGGGTCTTTGAAACGTCTCGATAAATGGTGAGGAGGGACTGTATCAAATGCAAGGTTCATTATTATTATTATGATGATTATTATATTAATATTATTATTATATTTTCCTTTCAGACCCACCTGGGATAGTGAAAGACCTCCGAGTCACATACTCTGACTACTCAAGCATATCACTTGCGTGGACTCCTCCATTGCGCCAGAATAACGATTTTGCTGAGGGCTATCTAGTAGAAGTGAAGTCCTTTGGAAGCACCACTTGGACAAGATGTAACACTGCAGCTGTGAACATGACTTCGTACACTGTGAAAGGACTGAAAGAGATGGGAAAGTATTCGCTAAGAGTGACAGCTGTCAATAGTGGTGGAATGGGTACCCCATTAGAACTGGACAGATATGTCTTCGCAATGCCTCCTGCAGGTAACTGTTTTCACAAATACTATTTGTTCAAACCTCACTAAATAATAATAATAATGATCCTTGCATTTGATATAATGCCTCATCGCGGCTTCGAGACATCTCAAAGCGCTTCACAGAATACATTATAAAGCGAACTGACTGTATATTTTATGGGCAACATGAGAAGTGATTTAACCACATCATATTTTTCTACTGGACAATTTCTACATGGAAACTGTGCTGTTGGCTCAAAGTCAAGTGAAGCACAAAGTCCAATCGAATTGAAAGTCACCTTTTGATTCAATAATTCACCCACAAAATACACGCACTTTATCGTGTGTCCTGTGAAGCACTTTGAGACATATCTAGTTTCCACGTTCCCGCACAAAATACACAGTTACTACACTTTACAGTGTAACCTGTTAGGGGCTTTCATGTGTCCTCCCGATCTGAAAGGCACTTTAGCAAATGGAAGGATTATTGTTATTATTTACTCTCTCTTTGCACCTTTGTTGACGGATTTCCTTACTGCTTTTTTTCCAGTTTGCCCCAAATTTGTATTGAATAAATCGATCAACAAATTTATGGTCATTGAAGAAGGAAATTCAATTCGAACGCAATTTTCTTTTGAAGTGAGTAGCTTAACCGAGACATTGCTGCCTTTGTATCTGAAGTGTTGGGCAGACACATAACTGGGAATCTTTCTGTGTTTATTTCAGGGATCGCCCCCTCCTGAAGTGACTTGGCTGAAGGATGGATTACCTCTGTCAAAGGAAGCCACAATCATCAACACTACTGAGAACTCTCAACTATTTATTCCAGCATCTCAGAGATCAGACTCTGGCATTTACAGCATTTTCTTGAAGAATTTCTTTGGGCAAGAATCATTTGACTTTGAGATACGAGTTACAGGTAACTAAATGTATTTTTCATCTTTTTTTCATCAATTTAGTCATACTTAATAATAATGATAATAATCCTTGCATTTGATGTAGCGCTTTTCACGTCTTCTCGACATCTCAAAGCGCTTCACAGAATAGACTGTAAAGTGAATAGACCGTATATCTGTGGGCGAAACGCGGCAGCCAATTGCACACAGCAGCGTCCCATAAAAAACTGTCGTGGATTGAAAATGACCAATTTATTTTTTTGCTTGTTTTAGAGGGATTATTATTAGCCGTGTGGAGAAAGGAAACTAGCCCAAGGTTTTGCCCTGTCTGGAATTGAGCCCAGGTGTCTTGCTTGCAAGGCGAGTGCTCTAACCACTGAGCTACAGGACTCCAGTTGTTCCTCCATACACAGTCACTACACTTTACTGTAGATTCTTACAGTGAAGTGCTGTGAGATATTTTTCACGACAGATTAGACCAGGGCCTTCTTCATCCGAGCCGATCTTGCAATCTAACCTAATGTTCTTTGTTTTCCAGCCATCCCCAAACCTCCAGGGCCATTAACATTGGATGAAAATGTACCAAACACAGTCACTGTGTCCTGGGAATCATCCTGGGATGAACATCTCGATGACCACTTGTATTACGTTGTCAAGAAGAGAGACTCGAGCAGAACAGCTTGGCACACAGTGGGCAATAACATCTTCAACAACAGATTTACGATCATCAACATCATTCCAGAACGTAAATACTACTTCAGGGTTCTGGCAAAGAACGACATGGCCTTCAGTGACCCTTCCGACACAAAGGAGCCCTGGTCCATCTCCAAGAAAAGAGGTAAGAAAGATTCTTTTTACGTATACATGTACTTGTACAAGTACAAGTGTTGCTAACTTTATCAGAATTTCCGGCACGGATCAGTTGAGCCAAATGGGCTGTTTCCGCAACATGTGAAAATACAAAGAACATCCTTGTCTTTCAATATTTTGACCACAAAATGTGTATCAAAGTTTTATCAGGGAGATGGGCACCAACAACAACAACAACTTTATTTATATAGCGCCCTTCTCACAGGATAGCTTCTCAGTGTAGTTACATAAAATATTACAGTTATTGCAATAGATTATACCTCTGCAAAAGGAATAGGGGAGAAATTCTTCCTGATCTAGAGTTACACTATTTTCTTAGCATTTCAGAGCGCGCAGAATAGGAAGAGACATAAACTCAGCCTTAATTTTCAAGCTGATTTAATGCAAGTTTGAGACCTACAGAAAAGCCACCCCATCATTCTTAGCCCCAGACCATGAACACAAAATGTGGATATGGGGTTTGAGCCCCCAACTCCTCTGACGATCAAAAAGAAAAGGAGCCTGGAGTGATAAATTATTAGGAAGGATCACAACCTAACCTAAAACACTCAGTGTTTCAGCGATGTCATCATTGATTGGAAAAGGTATGGGACAAAAAAAAGTTCATTCTGTCCATCAAGCCCACTCCTTCTGTATACATGAAAGCTGTTGTATCACAGACTCCATCTCCTCAGACCAAGCTCTGTGGAGAGCCCACTGAAAATCACAAGTCAATCACACACTTACTCCCATTATATTCTTACACCCCAAGGCCAAGGTATTAGACAAGCCAGGATCCTGGTAGAAGCAAGACCTGTGCTCTCAGACACTAATCCTTTGAGCAAATGATAGCGATTAACGTTGACTGCTTTGGTATAAGTATTACTATGGCCTCCCAAATACAGTGCAAGGAAATAATAATAATCCCTAATAATAATCCTTGCGTTTGATATTTGATAGAGTGCCTTATCATGTCTTTGTGATGGTTTCTGATCTCCTTTGCGTTTCTGATCGTGTCTATCTCGCAGATCCTTTCACTTTGAAACTGCCAACGTACAAGGAGGTAAATAAAAACAGAGTCCCCGTGTTCTCGGTGAAGTTAAAGACTCACATCGTGCCCAGTGGATGTGATGTGAACATGAGCTGCGCTGTTGAAGGCTATCCTTTGCCTCAAGTGACCTGGTACAAGAATAATATCGCTCTCGAGAACAATCGTAACTATTGGTCTACCAATGTCTGTGGAGTTTGTTCGCTTTGCATTTTTGGGGCAAGTCCAAATGACAGTGGATTATACACAGCCATTGCAGAGAATTCATTGGGACGAGCCATGTGTTCAACTACACTAACAATTACAGGTAAATGCAGTTATTTAGTCATCCTGATCAGCAAGGAGAACATTCCAGCAGTCTATGTCTATTACAGCAAAGAGGTGTCAGGTGATTTTTTTTTTAATTCTCTCTTCTATTTCACAGAGTGAAGTGGCTCCATGGATCAGTCCGGATCAGCTGTCCAGTGGAGGAAATAAATCAAATCAAATCATTACCACAATTATAAGCAAGTGCCATACTGACTTGATATATATATAGAGATCAGATTAGGTGCTTATCGATAAAGGAAATGTGCAAACGGCATTGATAGTAGCATTAAAAAATATTGTATTGGAAGTATTAATTTAAAAAATCCTGCTTTTGATATTTTGATATATTGATATCTCAAAGTGTTTCATAGGCTTTACAGTAAAGAGCAGTGACTGTATTATGTAGGTGAATGTTGCAAAAACTTTAACTAAATTCAGCTTGCAAGAGTGAGGTTTGCATGCTGTTGTAGCATTTGTGTTTTGCAATTGCGAGAGGACCTGGGTTTGATTCCCAGGCAAAACGAAATGATAGGCAAGTTTCCTTACTCCACACGCCTGTTTACCTAGCAGTAAGTAGGTACCCGGTTGTTAGTTGATTGGCGGATCGCTTTTCCAGGGGTAATAATCGCTTAAGAAAAGAAAAACAATTTTTAAAAACAATGTGGTCACTGTTTGTGGGACTCTGCTGTGTGCAATTGGCTGCCGCGTTTCACCCACAAAATATACAGTCAATTAATTTTACAGTATATTCTGTGAAGTGCTTTGAGACGTCTCGAAGGCGTGATAAGGCGCTATATGAAATACAAGGATTATTATCATTATTATCACTAAAAAGTGCATTTTTTTTAAATATGGAACAACGGAAATGATAAAGCATGACTTTCCACTACCCCAAAGGATTTTATATAGATTGTACAACACAGAAGCAGCCCAATTAGTCTGTGTTTATACTCCACATGAATCCAGTCAGTGGGCGGATGATAAACTGCATGAGCATACATTGGCGACTGAGAATTGCGTAAAGGTTTGAGAGTGGAAAACAGCAGTGAGGTACTGCAGCTTTTTATTTAGGAACCATAGAAATACAGGATGGGAGGAAACCTTTCAGCCATCGAGCCTGTTCCGCGAGTTTGTTAGATGTTGCCTGATCTTTAAATTCCATTTCCCCACCCTTCCGCCATACCCCCTTCTATCAACCAAGTACATTATCTATCGAGTTCTGACAAAGGGTCGTGGACCTGAAACGTTTACTCACTTTCCTTTCTCCATAGATGCTGCCTGACCTGCTGAGTGTTCCCAGCGACTTCTGTTTTTGTTTCAGATTTCCAGCATCTACAGTATTTTGAGTTTTGTTTACAGTATCTATCTCTCGCTTTGAAAAATCCCTGTTGATTCCGCCTCTACTGGGGCGGAATTAACAGCCTACTGGGTTAGATCACAGTGTTCCACATCTTCACAACCCTTTGTGCTAAGAAATTCTTCCTGATCTCAGCTTGAACTGCCTTGGCGCTGATTTTAAAGGCTCTGCCTTCTCTTTCCCCCCATCATTAAATGGCCCCCGAATCACAAGCTTCATTTAGTGCCTGTAACTTGATGGATGATAACACTAATCTCCTGAGGAAAAAACATACAGTGAGTGAAATAACAAGAGGCGAGACGTGATCTTCACTCTTCAATATAAAATCACATGATTGTGCCAAGCCACATTCCCATTGATTCTTGAAAAACTATTATGGGTATTTTGTTTTCCCAAATATAGCAGATAAAGGTAACATTATAAACGACCTCACATGTCACAACAACCGAAAAAAAGAGCTGCTTAAACGACAGATAATCAGGGTGAACAGTGACAAATGGTTAAATTTCTATCTGTCAGTGATGGAATGGAAACACAGTGGCAGACAAAGAAAACCAAAAGCTATGGCAGCAAAGCTTGCTGATAACGTTCAGTTCACATCGATGTATTACAGCCCCAAACCCTGTAATTCAGAGAAATGGAAGTGGAAACAAAACCTGTGTTTTTACTCTTGTATGATGGCAGATTGGTTAATCTGCATGAAATAAGTAATTTAAATAAAGCATTAAAGCTGTTGCAATGTTTGCTTTTGAAACTGGTACTCTTATTTTTTTCCGCCTGCAGTGACAGAGGAGTTTGTAACATTTAGTAAACACCAGATAGGAATTGATAAAATCACACCGTGATATAGATCGATTGTTTATTTTCCATTTCTTCTCACAGTTATACCTCTGATGGACTGTGTATCAGCCATAACAAAGTACATTTATAAAGTAGGGGGATAGCGACTTGAATTGCGCACAGTGGTGGGGCTCAATGCCAGCCAAGCTTTGGTGGTGGTGGGGTCGGGGGGTGGGGGGGGGGGGGGTGTGACCATAAATGTGGTCAAAGAGGAAAGCTTTCAGGTGGGATTTGAAGATAGACAGCGAGAAAAACGAGGTGGAGGGTTCCGGAATTTGGTGGCTTCGTCTTACATCGGTGGGTGAGAGAAATAGTGGCTGAAAGCACAGTCGAACAGACAATAAGAATAATCGCATTTGATACAGCGCCTTATCGCGTTAATCATGCGGTTCAAATTGAACAGGAAGACGTGGCAGAGGTTTAATATTTCATCCTAAGACAGCGCCTCCAACAAGGCAGGGCTCTCTCCCCCAGCACTGCCCTGGAGTGTCGACCTAGACTGTGAGCTCAAAGTCCTGACGTGGGGCTTCAACCCACAGCTTTCTAACTAAAAAACTTAACGATTGCTCACCGACTGAGCCGGGCTGACACTTATTAATTGCCCATTGAGCTTTTCTGGGGGGTAATAAGCCCTTTAAAAAAAATGGAGTCGCTCAATCCACGACTGTTTGTGGTACACCGCTGCGCGCAATCGGGCTGCCGCGATTCGGTTCGCCCACAAAATATACAGTCAATTCACTTTACAGTATATCCTGTGAAGCGCTTTGAGACGGCTCGAAGGACGCGATAAGGCGCTGTATCAAATGCAGGGATTATTATTATTATTATTATTCTATCAAATGCAGGGATTATTATTATTATTATATCAAATGCAAGGATTATTATTATTATTATATCAAATGCAGGGATTATTATTATTCTATCAAATGCAGGGATTATTATTATTCTATCAAATGCAAGGATTATTATTGTTATATCAGATTGAACGATTATATATATATATATACACATATTATGATGTGTTGAAGGCTGTAAAGAAGGCGCTGCTAGAGCCATGTATGTGGTTGGCTGATTGACCTGCTCTAAAGTCTGGTGTCCATACTTGATTGGCAAGAAGTTTGAAGAGGTCCCACCAAAGGTCCCACTTCCTCACTGCTCTGATTGGTGAAGTCCACAGGAGAGGACAGCCTAGGGGTTGATTTGCCACCAGCTGGTTGGTCGATGTGGCTGTTAATCATCACAGCAGCAACAGCAGCAGCTTGAGTTTGGAACAAAGTTGGTGGAAAAGTTTCCAAAAAGTTTTGGGTGCCTTTATTTTTTTTTCGTTTTGCTCTGAGAGAGAGAGAGAGAGAGAGAGAGAGCGAGAAAGAGAGAAAAAAGAAAGCAAAATCACACACACACACACACACACACCCCAAACCTAGAAAAGAAAAGCCATGAGAAACCGTAAAGGGAAAAACTCTCCCAAGAACGAGGAGATTGACAGTCAAGGGGTTCCTGAGGCTCCTTCGGTTGTTAGCGTGGCTCTGCTGTGGGTTTGCCTGGTGCTGCTCACTGTCAGCTGCGCTCTGGGCGGCTGGTACCTGGACCAGAAGCTGAGGGCGATCGGGAACCTGGACCAGACCATCCACCTCCTCCGGGAGAAGATGTCACGTCTCGAAAAGATCCAAGCTCAGGTGAACGAGCTGAACGAGAAGGTACTCTCTTTATATCTCTCTCTCTCTCTCTCTCTGTCTGTCTGTCTGTCAGTTTATCTATCTATCTCTCTTTCTGTCTGTCTGCCTGTTTCTCTCTCCCTCTCTCTCTGCCTGTCTGTCTGTCTGTCTGTCTGTCTCTCTCTCTCTGGCTATATCTCTGTCTGTCTGTCTGTCTGTCTGTCTGTCTGTCTCTGTCTCTCTCTGGCAATATCTATCTCTTTCTGTCTGTCTGTCCGTCTCTCTCTCTCTCTGGTTATATCTATCTCTATCTGGCTCTCTCTCTGGCTATATCTATCTCTCTATCTGTCTGTCTGTCTGTCTCTCTCTCTCTCGCTATGTCTGTCGCTCTATCTTTCTGTCTGTCTGTTTGTCTGTCTGTCTGTCTGTCTGTCTGCGGACACTGGCATCCATTCTCCTGTGTCCTCTCTCACGCTGTCATGCGTGTGGGGTTTTCAATCCTTGCAGTTATATAACATCAAAAAAACGACAACACCAGCCACTTGCATTTATATAACGCTCCTAACACCGGATGCCGTCTTGGAGCACTTTGTCCACTCTGAAATGTTAGTGCACATCGTACACACGCACACATACTCGCGCACACGGGCACACAGACATACCTACTGACATTTCTGCACCACAATGAAATGTCAACCGGTTCAGGGAGTTAAGGAATCATTACTCCAGGAAGGAGTATTATACAAATTGAGAATCGTTGGGGTGTTTTTTTTGCTGCGTGCAATCATTTTACACAAATACACAGTCAATCCACTTTACAGTATATTCTGTGAAGCTCTTTGAGACATCGCAGCGATGTGATAAGGCGTGATATCAAATGCAAGGTTTATTATTATTATTAGGGTTATTATTATAACAGCAGGATATAAATTCAAATCTTTCCAAAACAACGGGCTTTCTAAAAGTTCAATAATCTTGACTGTATTGTATCTTTTGTCAACAAACTTTCTTGTCAGATGTTGTGATACAAAGATCTTTGGCCTACTTAAGGTTCTTATCTTCAACATAAGGACAACAAAAGCGATTAGAAAATGCCCCCCAGCCATTTTTCGAGTGGTGGCCACGTGGAAAATATTGTCAGCACATGCTAATAATAATGTTAATAACCCTTGCATACGGCACTGCCCCTTATTGCGTCATCAACATGTTTAAAAGAGCCTCACAAGATTTACTGGACGGTGTAAGTGGCCGTGTGTTCGCCTGACGAACAGTGTGTTTGTAGGTTTTCAAGATCACAAGATTCGGTTTGGATAAAAAAGGCCTTTCGGGTCTTCTGATCTCATCCCTCCAGAAAACCCACTCTACCATCCGTCCGTTTCCCCATCAAAAAAAAGGAACTAGGCACCTTTTAAGAGGAGGATTCAGGGATATTAGAACAAAGCTTTAGGAAGTTAGACGGGTAATCTAAATAGAGTATATAAATAGAGTATATTTCCTGATGTGAAAGGTGCCATACCAAATGGAAAGGTTATTATTGAGTATTATTGATTATTAATGTATTGCCATTGATGTTAATGCTATTCCGAATTGAAGAAGCTTTGATTGTGTTTATTCTAAGCGCAGGTGACAACATTCATCTCACTAATTCATTCCTTAGCTTTTTTAATGGAGCAGAATTGAGACCGGAGTGTGTCTGCGGCTATTGAATGTTGATCAAGAGCCTTTGTTTGTTTATGCAGAACTGCAGAGTGTTTGCTTAAGTGTATGATGTGCTTTGACTACAACAAAACACAGTACTGTTTGGGAGCAAGTTTACACTCCCCAGATATAATTTGGATGCTTTGCTTATATCAGCTTCTCCCTCCACTACCAGATATGGTTATGTGGCCCCCTTATAACATTAAAGGCAGTGACTGTTCTCTTCCAGAATCTCCTCATCGCTTATCACACACGTCACACAGATCATTGATGTTATTTGAAACGACCATTTGAAGCCTCTTGACTCCAGGATTTAAATCAAGGGAAAGCTGAATTCTTATAAAGAACAACAGTTTCCATTGATCTAACACCCCTCACGTAGGGTAATGTCCCAGAGGACTTCACGGGAGTGGGATTGGACACAGAGCAAGAAAGAGGGAGGAGGGGTGGTGGCCAAGTGCGTTCATAGAGGTAAATAATCTTTAATCCTTGCATTTGATACAGCGCTTTATCATGTCGTCGACATCTCAAAGCTCCTCACAAGATATACTGCACAGTGTAGTGTTGTGTGTTTAGTAGTCAAATGACAGTCAATTTGCACACAGTGATGCCCCACAAATAGCCATGGAGTGAGTGAGCAATTTTATTTGGGGGATTTGTTGGCCAGGACAATGTCCATCTGAACAGGCAGATGGGACCTCGATTATCGTCTCATCCATAGGACGGTACCTCCGACAATGCAGCACACCCCCAGCACTGCATTCTTAACATAATCTGTTTGGGTTCCAAATCCCGACGTGGGGCTCGGACCCACAACCTTCTGACTCAGAGGCCAGAGTGCTACCAACTGAGCCAGGTAAGGTTTGTGGTGGGATTGGAAGACAAAAAGAGAGAGAGGTAAAGGGAGGGAGTCCCAGACATTAGGGATATAGGATCTGAAGGCTTGACCACTGCATGCTGGATGGAGAAATGCCATCACTGACCAATTGGCAAAACTCTGCACAAGCGTTTGCACCATCGTGTAGCACAAATTAGCAATGTGTTGGACTAGGCATGAGCTTATTTTTGAACAGAGTATGAAGTTGTCTCCAGGGACAGGAAACGAACACGTGATGTTAATGAGGGTGGAGTTTTAAGCGATGCCAACGTTCCTGCATTTTCAGGGAAATGGGGTCGGGAGATTTGTGTAGGCAAGAAAATGGCAAACTCACTGCTCAGGCTCGCAATGCTGTGTCTCTCTTCCTGTCCCAAGTAAAATTGGTCATTTGCTTCATGGCTGCACGTCAGACATTTTGGCTGGTGCGATTGCAGACTAAAAAATTGCACAGTCACTGGACGTTACAATATATCCTATGAAGCACTTTGAGATGTCCTTCCAATATGTGCTACATCAAATAGAAGCATTATTATTATTATTGTTGTTGTGGAGTCCTGCAGCTTAGTAGTTAGAGCACTCACCTTGCAAGCGAGAGGGCCTTGGTTCGATTCCCGAGCAGGACAAAATGTTATGCATGTTTCCTTACTCCACATGCCTCTGTTTCCCTAGCAGCAAGTAGGAACCCGTTTATTAGTCGATTTTTTCCGGGGGTAATAATCCCTTCAAGAGAAACTATTGGGTCACTCAATCCCTGACTGTTTGTGGGAGACTGCTGTGTGCAATTGGCTGCCGCACTTTGCTCACAAACTATACAGTCAATTCATTTTGCAGTATATTCTGTGAAGCACTTTGAGACGTCTCGAAGACGTGATAAGGCGTTATATCAAATGCAAGGATTAAAGATTATTTACTGCTATGAACATTTATTATTATTATTGTGGATTTGGATGATCATTGTTAGCTTCTGCCTACAAAATACACAGTCACCACATTTACAGCGTATCCTGTGAAGCACTTTGAAGTGTCCTCCCGAGGCAAAAGGCCCTGTATCAAATGCGACGCTCGCGATTTAAAGTCGGAACACAGTCTCGGTCTGCAGTGACTCCACTTTCAGGGAAACGAAAGAAATGCCAAAATCAGAGGGAAAAAACATCATAGACGATAAACAATAATAACGCTTGAATTCGATACAGAGCCTTATCGCGTCGCTGAGACGCCTCAAAGCGTCGAGGCGTCTGAAAGATTTACTCCCGGCTGCAAAATGAACTGCTTTGCTTTATTTCAGTTGATAATCACTCACAAGTACGAGGAAAGGATTCTGAACCTGGAGACCTCTCAGAGTCAGATTCAGAAGAGAGTGGAGGCGGAGGCTGCTGAAATCACACGTATGCAGTCGTCTGATGTGGCCAGCAAGTTGTCTGCCCTCCAGGCAGAGACGAGGCAGAGCCTGGTCGAACTGAGCGAGCTCTCGCCCACGAGGAGCGACTTGCAGGTGCTGAAGAATTCGCTCAATCTCTTCAGGACGACCAACTTCGCCAAGCTTCAGCAAGAGGTCACGGGAATCAAGTCTGACGACGCTCGGCGAGAGGAGGGCTTGACCACGCTCTCGGCCTCTCTGTCCAGCCTCGCTAGCCGGCTTGCCAGCCTGGAAGAGGACGGCCGATCGCTTCAGGCTCTTCGGCAAAACACGCAGGAGGTCGGGGCGCTCAAGGAGACGGTCGGGAAAAGCACCGAGTCGCTGACTGCGCTGAACAACCAGCTGACGCACGCAGCCCGGTTGACCGAAGCTCTCCAGTCGCAAGGGGTGCAGCACGGCAAGGAGATCCTGGGGCTCAAGGAGGCTGTGTCAGCCCAGCAAGCAGAGCAACTCTCCAACAAACAGGAGCTGGCAAACATCAGGTTACAATTCCGAGGCTTCGTTTGAGGTTACAATTCCGAGGCCTTGGGCCGTCCTCCTGACGTGAAAGGCGCTGCTCAAATGTAATTTGTTGCGGTCGTTGTCGTTGAGAGGAGGGAAAATCAACAACAACAACTTGCATTTGTACAGCACCTTTCACGGAAGGCAGCATCTCGGAGCGCTTTACAAGATAGGGGTTCCCTTCCTTCAACAAATATATATATATATATATATATATATATAAACGTATTTTTTAAAAATATTAGTTCGGTCACTTATATCCGCGACTGTTTGTGGGACACTGCTGTGCGCGATTGGCTGCCACAAAACATTCAGTCACTTCACTTTACAATATTTTCGGTGAAGCACTTTGAGACGCCTCGATGATGTGATGTGGTGCTTTATCAAATGCAAGGGTTATCATTATTATTATTAGGGTCGCACACTGAGCAGGAGGGAGCAGATGAGGCAGATGCCAATAGGTACGATCAAAGTGGTAGCTTTTAAGGCAAGATTGAGCGGGGGTGGGGGGAACGAGACGGAGAGGTCAGACTCCGATGATGGGGAGATAGCAAGCCTTAGTTGGCGAATGGAGGGGAGTGGGGTGATGCTAGCGGAGGAGTGGAGGTAGGAGAAAATCAAAATACAAAGCAAAACAGGACTTTCCTTTTAAGAAGATTCTAACCAATAATACAGTGGCCATTCAAACACCCACAGATCGTGGCAATATTTCATGCTGCACGCTGTGGATACTGACACATTTAGATTGAGATTGTCTGATGGTCTGCAAAAAAAAAAAGAAAATTACTGCAGAATTGTTTAATAAGTAAAAAAAAATCGGAATTATTCTCATCTCCAGAGAAGTAGCTCAGGAGCTACGCACGGGGAAGTCGGCTGTGGAAGAACAGGTGAATACAGTGAGCCACAGTGTGGCTGACAACACCAGAGAGCTGCAGAGCGCAAAGAGACACATGGAGGAACTGAGCGCTCTTCTGCAGAGTCAGATTGCAAAGGTAAAGCACAGAGTTATATTGATACAGTATAAATTCACATTGATACAGAACCTTTCACACCAGGAAAACGTTCCAAGGCGCCCACGAGTAATGGCTGGGTGAGAGCTGAGAGGTGTGGGGAGGGGAAAGGTGGACTGAAAGTGCGGGTTATTCACTCTAGAACATAAGAATTTGCTGGGCGAAAGAAGACCAAGGCCCATCCAGCTGTGGCTGATGTTAATGAACATTATACGAACACGAAAACAAAAACTTTGGGCAAGCTCCAGCTCCAATCATATTATTATTATTGTTATCACATTTTGTTAAGCCTGGCCCAATGTAGAGAAGCCTGGAGTGAAGTCAGTTGGATTAATGTGATGTGACGTTATTTGGATAGACTAGATAATGGAATGGTTTGATTTTCCGGGAGAGAACATTGGAGAATAATAGGCGATGTTGGATGCAAAGCTGCACAGTGAAACTAAAACCACTCCCTCTCCAAAGCAGTACATAGTATCTGTAAAGAATTCAGAAACGGCTTAGTACTTTGAATTGACCTATTTGGCTGTTCCTTAGAGTTGTCTTCGGAAGAATGTTGCTGTTATTTATAGACAGTAAACCTAGGTGTCCAGATAGTGTAACTTTAAAGGTCCACTGACACTGTTTTCCATCTGTGTTGAAATATGTACTGTATTTACATGTGAAATGAATTCCATCAAGGTCAAACTGAAGTTGAGCAATAAAGTGCGGGGAAAGTTTTGCAAATGATGATGATTAGAACAATAAATAATCACAATGCTTGCACTGAGACATCTCGGAGATGTGATAAGATGCTATATCAAGTGCAAGGATTATTATATTATTTAGTGTAGCTCCTTTCATGTTTGGAGGGTGTCTCAAAGCACTTCATAGGGTTTAGTGCTTTGACTGCTGCGTTTCAACCACAGGGTGTACGGTTGATTCACTTTGCAGTATATTCTGTGAAGCGCTTTGAGACGTCTCAGTGATGTGATAAGGCGCTACATTAAATGCAAGGGTTATTATTATTATTATGTACTGAAAAATGTAGTGATTGTGTTTTGTGTGCTAATTAATTTATAGAGGGGATAGTGACAAAAACAGCAGTGGTATGTGAAGCTTTGCTACCTCTATTTTATGCAGAAGATTTAATCTACAGAGGTTTGAGGTATCTAATTTGTGTTCCTAAAGTAATTTAAGCTTGAATATGAGTTCCGCCCACCCCTCCCACCCAAAAAAAAACCCTTAGGGCTGAGAGCCAGCAAAAGCTATATACACAATTCAGCAGAATGTACAGTCACCGATGGAAATGAGATATTCAGCCATATATATTCTGTTTATTAAATATGGACTTTTACTGCATTCAGGTTGAAACTGATGGCATTGATAGGAATAAGCAGTTCTCGGCTGTCATCGATCAAGCATTTCAGACCCTGAGCCAAAGTGTGGGAAAGATTGAAGTGGGTCTGAAGAATACAGTGGAGCAGTGTAAGTATCTCCACATCCAGCCAGCATTTGAAGAGACTGCAACCCATTGTGATTAATGAGAGCCAAGCCTTCTGAAGCCACTTGTGGAATGTAGAGCGTACATTTCCCTGTATGACAAATGACAGTTTGACAAATGATCATTAATAAGAATCAACCTCAGGGCAGCTTCTCAGCCTTGCAAATTATAGGTTTTTGGCAATTGTCTTCTCTCGTCTCCTGAAGACATTGACATGCAGTACACCGGGTGTTAAATGCCCTCTGGTCCCTTGCCCAATCGTATGTTTTACATGCGTGAGCCTAGACAATAATAAGCATCAGTAACTGAATCAGCGAAACATGAGGAACTGAACTACAATTTTCCCTTCTTGTCAATGTACCTTGTGGTGGTATCGATCAAATTTGATATTTTAAACATTCTGGTTGGGCACCCTGTCAAGTTTTGTTTTTATCCTTTAGTGAATGCTTCGAAACATAAGCCCACTGAAAGGTTTGTACTCTGTAGTGACTGCAAGGCTCACACACTACAGGTAAATGCCCTCTTGGCCATCAGTTCTGAAATCATTCCATAGTTTGTTACCTGTTCGACTCCACCTGACACCAATTAGGATCCAGCAGGGCATTAGTGTGTTGAAATATGCAATTTTCCTGTATACCTTGAGTAATCTAAATTCACTTCAGAACCAACGAGTTTGATGGAGTTGATCAACAACCACAAATTGTATTTGTATAGTGCCTTTTGCAGAGGGAGAAGGTCCAAATGTGTTTAACAGTCAAGATTTGCACCTGAGCTGGGGTTTGGGGATCAGGAGGGCAGGAAGGGTATGGGTAGGAGGCTAACCAAAGATACGGTCGAATGGGAGGGTCTTTAGACTCGCCTTGAGGAAGGTAAGGGAGGGAGGGAGGAATCAATATTGTAATGTAATGTACCTAAAGAGTAACCAACTGATGGGAGATGGGAAGCCAAACCTTATGGACCTCCTTTGGTAAGATGGTCCTGAGCTTCCTTTAAAACAAAATCTTACAGTTAGTGAATTTCACTCCCTGCTTCCGGATGGAGCTCCGAGATGCCATGAAGGGCACTATATAAATCCAAGTTGTTGTTGCTGGTGGTGAGTGATCATACATCAATGAAACTTCTTCATTAGAACGAACTCTTAATGATATTTCTGATCTTTCAATTAGGTCTTTCGGGAGAAGTGAGGAGCTTCTGTGAAACTCCGGACAACTGCTCATGGCCCCACATTCGGGAAGTGAACTTTCCTCATCGAATACTGAAGGACCCAGTGATTCTCCTCAGCCTGACCGAAGTGGGCTCTGACAGTTCGATTGGAGTCACCGTAAAAGCCATTGACGTCACGGACTCTGGTTTCAACATCCAAATTGATAACGTGGGTGATTTCAACCTCTCCACTGTGAGGGTGAACTGGATAGCCTGTGCATAGGAACGCTAGGGATGTGCTGGGCCAGGAAAGACCCCTGTAGTCTATCTGGCTCATCCCGAAATAAGGTACGCTGACTGAAATGGTTTGAAATATCCCCAGGGATTCAACTCATTTAAGTCATCGCCTCCTCAAGGGGAGGAAAAAAACAATCTGAAAACACCATTAATTTAATCCCATTGGAAATATCAAGGTTCATCTTTTTGAATCCAACAAAGTACTCAACATTAGGACCATAACTCTGAGGCTAACTGTAGTCTATGCCAATGGCACGCAAATGTGCTGGGCCAAACATAATTACTGTCTACAGTGTTAATATGTCTTATCAGATAAATGTTGTAAGTTCAATGGCAAACGCTAAATAGTAGATCACAAAGTGCATTGAAGTATGCGTTTTCAATGAGTAGATGCCAAAAATGCTTGGACCAAATTATCAGTAAGTTCTTGAAGTGAATTGTTTACAAGCTGATAGATCGTCTCTATGCGCTAGGTCAAGGTAGAGACTACGGAGTGAGGTTTCTCACCAGTGTTGGGGCTGGTTTGTGCTGAGTGATCTTGATCCCAACGCACATTTTTTGTACTTTTTTTTTCCTTGTTGAAGAGAATCAACAAGAACATGGAATTGTGCAGCAAAAGACCGTGACAAAGCACATCAGTAAATCAACATCAACGCACCACAAGGGAAGACTATAGTTTCCTGAGTGTTTTGCGTAATGTAGACACCATCACAAGAAACTATGCAAACAACTTTAATATAAGCATTTCGGTGTCATGATTAGTGAGACTAAGTTCGACAGGCTGGAGGACAGGAAGTTGTAAAGGCAGTAGATGAGAATAAATAAATACTTATTGCAAACAACTCAGATAAACGGCCAATAAGTTAAACTGGTCACTCACTTCATGACATCGCTATGCACGAATGGGATGTCTACAATCACCCAGTCACTCCGTTTCACAGTAAGAGCCTTCCCGATGTGAAAGGCGCTATACCAAATGCAAGAATTATTGGATTATTATTATTAATATTACAGAGTTGTATTCTTTGGCAGCTGGTATTCTTTGCTAGGTTTAGGTAATAATGAATCTTTAAATTAGGTCAAACCTTTTGTAGAAAATTAGTTCACACATTTAAAGTTCCATCGTTTATTCACATTAAACACGTTGTTGTAGCTTATGTGCATCTACTCCGTAGACAATCTGCATTGCATTCATTCCAAATTTATCACCTGAAATTGCACCAATTCTATAAGATCATTTTTGTCTTAATATTGAAAATCGGATAGAATTGTAGAAAATGTTTTAAATTCAGTTTTAATTTGGGTATTTGCTGTGGGACCCTGCTGTGCAAAATTGGTTGCCAAGTTTCACCCACAAAACACACAGGCAATCCACTTTGCAGTATATTCTGTGAAGCGCTTTGAGACATCTCAACAACATGATATGGCGCTATATAAAATGCAAGGATTATTTGTAAATTCTGGAGTTCAAGTTACGACTGAGCTTACCACGATTCCACATGATTTTTAAAGCTTAAGACAAAATGTTCCTGCAGGCTAAGACTAGGTGACATTTCAGGCCTCTGGTTTGCAAGCCATGTAACCAGCCAGATTCCCAAGCGAATGGGATCAACATTGAAGCTGCAAGGAAATGTGTTTATTGAACCTCACTGAGTTATCATTCACTTGCTGTTGGTTTACAGTATTTTCAACGGGATTGATATCGAAGGGATTTTTTTGAAGCTTGGCTTGACGGTGCGTGTGGCTTGCTCTCTTGCTTTCACTTTATGTGTCTGGTTTATTTTAAAGGCAGAATGGAAGCAAAATTGGCCTGGTGCTAGACGATTTCTAAAAGTAAAAATGTGCGGTTATTTTCTTTTCGAAACTGCGGAGTTGAATACAAAGATAAGACTGCGTTATTGGCTGTAGCAGCACTTGAGCGTTGACTTTGGCAGTTCTTTTTCTAATTGGCTGTAAATTTCTGTGTTCATCTCATGACTCTTTGTTGTTTCTCACTGGTGCAAGTTGACTGCTCCATTCACCTGCAGCTGCACAGTCACTACACTTTACACTAAATTCCCATGAAGCGTTTTGAGAAGTTCCAGCCACGTGATAAGGTGCCATATCAAATGCAAAGATTACATTAATACATTGCTGTGCGCAAATTGCTACCGCATTCCCTTGCAACATGCATACTCACTACACTTTACAGTAAATCCTGTGAAGCACTTTGAGACATTCCGCTTAATTTAAAAGGTGCTGTGTGAAATGTAAAGTATTATTATCATTTTGCAAATCAGTATGGTACCTACATGCCATTGGGCACAAAGTATTAATGTATGTTCTGTTTTAAAGTAAGTTGGATATTTGCTTTTCTTTCTCAATTTTAAGACAATTGAGCAAATAATTTCCATTGGGCTTGGAGTATTTGAAAGGGGTCATGTGATGCATCGCAGTGATTTCATTTTATAATTTGTTTTGTTAAAAAATAAATAAAGCTTTTTGGGGGATTTCATAAATATTTGCTTCTCCCCAAATGTTTTCCTTATTACGCCAACACTTCTCACTACCCCTTTGCACTTTCCTTTGTGTGACACTAAATCTGTACATTTTTTAAAGATCAGCCGGGTGTCTGACACATGCAGAAACCATCGACATGCTTAAGAGTATCCAAAGAAAATTCCATGCATCCTACCTATGTATGGAAATTCCAGCGATAGATTGGTGGAATGGAGTGCGCACTCTCTCCGTAGAAACAGAAGTAGGCCATTCAGCCCCTTGAGCCTGTTCCGCTATTCTTTAAGATCATGGCTGATCTGTACCTCAACTCCAATTATCCGCCCTTACCTCGATTCCTTTGTTACCCTGACCTAACAAATATCTATCCAACTCAGTCTTGAAGCGATGGAGGGATGAATCCTGCTTACCTAATTCCGTAAAGCATTAGGCACCGGTAAAAGTGTCAGCCTTGGTAGCTCTTTTGCGTCTGAGTCAGAAGATTGTTGGGTCAGTCCCCATGTCAGGACTTTGAGCTTACAGTCCTGTCTGACACTGCAATAAAGTGCAATATAGGGGGGAGCGCTGCATTTTTGGCGGTGCCGTCCTTCAGATGAGTTGTTAAAACAAGATCCCGTCTGACTGTTCAGAAGTTGTTAAGGATTCCCATGGCATATTTGAAAAGAAAAGGGAATTTCTCCCAGGATCCTGGACAATGATCCCACAAAAAAACGTGGTCATGCACATCATGGCTGTGTGTGAAATATTGCTGTGTGGGAATTGGCTGTTGTGTTTATCTCCAAAATACACAAAATACATACACTTTACATGAAAAGCACTATACCAAATGCAAGGATTATTATTGTTGCAGCCTTTTCATTGCTACTGCATTCAGCAGTATGAAGAGTTCAAGTGAATTTTACTTGAATCCTTTCCTCTCACACACACCCCCCTCCGTATAAGAAATAATTTTTGGGGGGGAAGTCATCCAGGTGTCTGACACATGCGGAAACCCATCACCACACTTAGGAGTATCCCACCTACACATGGAAATTCCAGAGGTAAATTGTTGTAAGTAAGGAATACAGTTGACACTCATGTTAAGGCAGTGTGTGACCAGTCTTCGTTCTTCAAATGATGATAGAGGAAATCGGTTGTACAAGAATCTGTCTTGTGTTTGTATCGCATTCACCCACAAAACACACAGCCCTGCACTTTCCGGGAGCACTCACCTCGCAAGCGAGAGGACCTGGGTTCGATTCCCGACAGGGCGAAACGTTGGCCAAGTTTCCTTACTCCGCATGCCTCTGTTTACCTAGCAGTAAGTAAGTAGGTTGTTAGTCGATTGGCGGATCGCTTTTCCGGGGGTAATAATCCCTTCAAAAACAATAATAAAAAATAAAATAATAATAATAATTTGGTCACTCAATCCACAACTGTTTGTGGAAATTGTTTGTGTTAACCTGAACCGTTAATTCACTTTCCTCTCTCCATAGATGCTGCCTGACCTGTTGAGTGTTTCCAGTGACTTCTGCTTTTATTTCATACCTCAAGATAAATTTGTCATTCATTTCATGGCTGTTTGTGGGACTTTGCTGTACTCTAAGCACCATTGCCTACAAAAAACAGTCACTACACTTGTCTCCAATTCCCCCCCTCTTTGCCTGTGCTTTTTTTAGGCATCTGTCCCCTTCCACTGCCTTTGACTGCCACTCCCAGCTTGAGTGCCCAGTTAGCACTCTAAATGCGGTTTGGGATGTCCTCCCGATGTGAACGCTGCTATATAAATGTATGTTGTATTATATTGTAATTACAGGAGAAGATTTCCCTTTGAGGTTCTAAACAAATGTAATTTTGTATTTGTAAACCTGGTTTCACATCTGGTACCTTTCGCCCACAAAATATACAGTCAATTTGCTTTACAGTATATTCTGTGAAGCGCTTTGAAACGTCTCGAAGATGTGATAAGGCGCTGTGGTGTGGTGCCACTGTTAATCCACTAGAGTGCACTAAACATCTTGTACAGAGATAAAGAAGCCCATTGTCAACCGTGGCTCAATAGGCGTTTATTCAACCCATTACGATAGTGTTGTCCTTGTTTCACCGAGCAGAGCAACTGCCCCTTTCAAGCTCTTAATCGTTAGTCTTAAATTCCTGCCCACTTGTTCTCAAGTCAACTGATCAGCAGAAATAGTAGCTCCCTATTTTTTTCCTCCTTAAATCCTTTTATTATCTTGGCTATTCATATCCTGTCATCCCTCGACCTTCTCTCTGCTACGTTGCGAGCGATACGGTTTAATATATTTCGCAATCGATGAATATTTAAGCATTTTGAAGACGCTTTTTAGAAATTTTTACGGCGGGCAGACGCAAAGTAATCTCACTGAGAGTTGCTAAATCGAGATACACCTCTTCCCCAAAGGGAAGGAGGGGAGGACTCAGAAGGTAAGGCACCTGCAATGTTCTTTTGCAACTCCTAGCAACTAGCGTGCATTGGCAGACGCCTAGGAACAAGGATTATCAGTGTCATAGATGGGAATTATAATAATAAGCATCACAAATCGCTTCACCAGATGCACTGTAAAGTGTAGTGACCGGATTTTGCTGGCAAATGTGGCGCCTAATTTTTTGGTAACATACCAGTTTCACCAAAAAGTGATTGACGGATTGGCCTAGACAGCAGAAGAATTGCCCTTCTCTTTTCAAATAGTGCTGTGGTAGCCAATTCAGTGATGGACTGAGTGGCTTTACATGCGTTCGTCACCTCCTGCCCTCCTTGCCAGTCTCCTTAGCTCCACTATCCACAAAATCCAGTTCGTCCAAAACTCCGATGCCCGCATACTCGCCCGCTGCAAACTCCGAAACCCCATCACACCAGTTCTGGCCAGGCTCCACTTGCTCCCTCTTATTTTCAAAATAAGATTGGTCACTCAATCCATGACTGTTGGTGGGACGCTGCTGTGTGCAATTGGCTGCCGGGTTTCGCCCTCAAAATACACAGTCAATCCACTTTACAGTATATCCTGTGAAGTGCTTTGAGATGTCTCAACGATGTGATAAGGCGCTATATTAAATGCAAGGATTATTATTTTATTTATATAGGAACATGCATGAGGGGTGCTATATAAATGCAAGTTGTTTTTGTTTCAGCGTCTTGGGACGGCCTCCCAACGAGAAAGGCGCTATACAAATGTAGTTTTGTATTGTATCTTTAAAGTCCACCTGAACAGGGAGATAGGAGCATGGTTTAACCATCTCATTCAAAGACTGGACCTCTGTCAATGCAGCACTCAACTCAACACCCCGTTGCAGTGTCAGCCTAGACTGTGTGAGTTCAAAGTCCTCAAGTGAGACTTGAATCCACCACATTCTTCAGTGCGCTACCAACTGAGCCAGGCTGTTGAGATGGGAGATTAAACTTACAACAACAGCAACAGACAACAAATTACATTTGCGTAGCGCCTTTCACGTCAGGAGGACGTTCCAAAGACTGAGAGGGAGGAGAAAATGCCAGTTTGACAAAATGTGTTATTTGTACTGAAGAATTTCTCCCCTTTAATTAATGGACTCTAAAAGGTGTGGTAAAACAACTTGGAAAAATGGAATTACATTTGAAATGTTCATCTAACCATATCATCACCATTTCAAGAATCACACACTCAGTATAAAGTGTCAGATTTTGGCATTTACTTTTCCGAATAGGTTTGATTGTGAGTTGTTATTTTGTTATAGGTCTTTGGGCAGTGTCAAGTGATATTTTTCTCGTTCTAAAGCAAGATTTTTCCCTTTGAGTCTGCACTCTGTGTGAATGTGAAGTCACCGAGACAATCAGTTCA